TACGCACAACCAACCACTGACCTGTTTTTGCTTGAGGAACCAGTTTTCCATTAATGTATTCATCTCTGAGCGTATTGAGTACGCACAACCAACCACTGACCTGTTTTTGCTTGAGGAACCAGCTTTCCATTAATGTATTCATCTCTGAGAGTATTGAGTACGCACAACCAAGCACTGACCTGTTTTTGCTTGAGGAACCAGTTCTCCATTAATGCATTCATCTCTGAGCGTATTAAGTACGAACAACCAGTACTGACCTGTTTTTTTTCTGAGGAACCAGTTTACCATTAATGTATTCATCTCTGAGCGTATTGAGTACGTACAACCAACCACTGACCTGTTTTAACTTGAGGAACCAGTTCTCCATTAATGTATTCATCTCTGAGCGTATTAAGTACGCACAACCAACCACTGACCTGTTTTTGCTTGAGGAACCAGTTTTCCATTAATGTATTCATCTCTGAGAGTATTTGATGGGTCATAATTTCCTTCCTCTGGTCTTACAAAGGCTGGTACTTGAAAATGTCCCCGATCTAAATTATCATCCGTATCAAAATAAACTTTTTTTGGATTATGTTATTTTTGCTTTTCTATTACACTCAAGGTACTAATGCAAGGAAAGTTATTTCAGAGGTGTACGCATTTTTTGTACTGCAGTGTACTGTCTTTGGGCAGAAAGGAAAACACAAGACGGATTTCACAGCCTGACATGGAATCCATTTTCACAAAAATAATCTATGAAATATTCTGGTGATAAGAAACTATTATGTGAATTTTCAAAATTATCAAAATTAAATGCTTTTATCTGCCTCTGATACTAGACGAACACTGATGCATCTATTCTTGTTTACAAATTCCGCCCAGAGAGAACTGGTTTCAATATGAACGCAGAGTATGGCCCTGCATGTTGGAAGGGTGAGGGGTGGGGGGTGCATTAATCACTGTTAAAAAATAGTCTGCAACGTAAACATAATATTTGCTCTAACGGCCTCAAAGTCTGTGCGGTACTTCAGCATGAAAATTTCGTACCTGTTAGGTAAAAACAGCATTTAATGTTTGATCTGGGGTATAAAAGATTTCTGGTTCTTTTCCAAAGGTTTGCCAATTTTATTTTCTCCCTAAAGATATTTGTTTAAATCCAATTTTTATGGGTTTTTTCTCTATATTTTCTAGTGTTTAACATCACCTGCAGTAGGGGCAGATCAACTTAATAGTAAAATCCTGCATTTGAGGATTTTTAGGAATTATCAAAACACGAACCAATTGTGGATCCGTTTCAGGTTTCAGGGATATTTTCTGAACAAAAGATGGCTCAGTTAAATTTACCCAAATACTTTTGCCATAAATACATTTGCCATAATTACATTTGCCATAATACGTTTGCCATATGTAGCATTTTGCATAAGTTACACTTGCTATAATTACAATTATTTATAGTTACAATTAACTTAACATACATATATGTATATTTTTTATGAAACAACTACAATTATAAATTTTGGGACTTAATAAGTGACAGCTCATGTGCAGTAAGGCTTTTTCTTCCAGTATTAGTTTTTATATCTCTCCCGGCATCATTGTTAGAAAACTAAAGTTGCTGAAATTTCTGTTTTTTTTTTTTACATTAAGAACCAGTAAACTGTGGAAAAGGAAAACAATATCAATACTTAAGTTGATTGGATTTGTTATAATGCAAATAACTTTACCAATAACGTTTTAAATCACATATATATTTAAATAAATAAGTATGTTTTCAATGTCCAATTCATGTGTCTCATGTTTATTGGACTCTCTTTTTATTCCAGAGTTTTCTGATTCTTCCTGTACTTAAATTTCTGTTTTTTTTTATTTTAGGTTTCTGAGTTTTTCTTGGTTTAAATTCCGTTTTTTGTTGTATCTTGAACTGCTTTAAATTAGCAAACTTTTTATATAAATACCCTTGTTTGTTGATCTGACATGAATATGGTGAGGCAAGAGGTTGGTTTGATACAGAGTTCCTCAGCTAGTTGAATATTGGTCTCTGAATCCACAAGAAATCTTGATTACAAAATAATCAGTTTTCAGTTTTCTTCCAGTCCAGGGGATAATCAGAATATATGTAAACAAAATTATCCGTTTTCCGTTTTTATTCGTGCCTTTCAAAATTGTTAAGAAAAAGATCTTTTGGCACTTTTGATCTTACTGTCAAATACTATCATATCTAAATTTAGAAAGTCTTTAAATCTGATGTATTGTATCAAATTTACTATAGGATAGCATTCATTTGAAATTCGAGTATTAAAAATTTTAAATTCGAATTTGTTGAAGTGCAAATTATTATTTAACAATTGTTTGTTTGGTATAAACGATTCAGTACACCATGCAACAGAACGTTTAGCATCAAATCAACATTTTAAATTATCAATATTATATCATCTCGGAAAATACTTCAAAAATGCCAAGGTTGAGAAATACAAGTATGCATTGAATGCAATAATTTCTCTGTGTGTCTGTTTATTTTATGTCAGATCATAACTCATAAACCTCTTGACCGATATTAGAACCAGGGAAATTAGCTTGGTTTAAAACTTCTTAGTTAGCAGGTTGACGTATATTCCAGCTAAAGCTGGGTTTCCAAGCTATTAACTAATATTTTTTTAAACCAAATTTAGTTTTTTTTCATCCAAACTTTACTTTCAACTTTGTCAAACTCCATTATATTGTACAGTGTACAGTGTAAAACGGCTGGTTTTAGAAATTTAGGACAAATTTTTTTAATATGCTTAAATTTTGTTAGCTTCTTCCATATTTATCACTTAAAAAATATATAAACATATATGTGAGCGAAAAGATTTATTATATAGATAAACATTTTGATGTGGTCATATGAGATAAAAAACCCATCATGCTATCTATCAAAGAAATTGTGGGGTATAGTGGAGGGTCCATTTTGGTACATAATTTACCTCAAAAAGACCTATGCACCATTTAATAAGTAAAAATCTTATACTTTTCAATAATAAAAAATCCCACTTAAACCCTGACATTCCCTACCTTACACACCCAGACTGCTTGATAACTTGACATTCCCTACCTTGCACACCCAGACTGCTTGATAACTTGACATTCCTTACCTTACACACCCAGACTCCTTGATAACTTGACATTCCTTACCTTACACACCCAGACTGCTTGATAACTTGGGGTAAAGAATCTTTCTCAATATCTTTAGATATCTTCAGCACTGACGTATTCATTTCACTAATAAATGAATTTTAATATATATAAAAATAAAAAACTCTGCAATCTTCATTTTCATGCAGTTTTTAATAATTAAATATTTGCGAAGTTCATTTTCTAAGCCGAACATGATTGAAATTCATTTTCTAAAAGATTTAAGATAAAAGATTTAAATCATGTTTATCCTTGTTGGTATTATATCGGTGTCAGGTAGATCAATTGTTACAATCAAGCAGGACAATTCAGTTTCTAGATTTTTTAATGAGATATTAACTTAAAATATTTTTACTATATTGATGAACTCTGAAATGAGAACTTTTATTGATTAATTAATGTTAATCCCGTCAATAATCCGGTGCTATTTCCCATTCGAATAACTTAAAAGTTCGACTAATCGGATGATATCAATATAATGAGGACGACTTCCGATTTAAATTTTGATTTTTATCAAGCTTTAAAACTGCATAGATACACAAAAACATAGAAAAAAGAGATGCGGTCAATTAAAAAATTTTCTCTTTAATTACTTCGAAAAAAGCTTGTTAACAATTAAAACTTAAATGAAAAAGTCGTCTTCATTATATTGCTATAATCGCCTACCACCGTATAAAAATATTGTCCGGGCCCACAAAATAGAGCAGATTTGTGATATTTAATCAAAAATTCCGACATTGATTTTCCTAATTTTACTAAAATTAATAAAAAACATCTCGCATTATTTCCTTTGACTGACTCAATAATCTTCCAAATCATCTGATTCTCCAGGCTAAAATTTAAAATAATTAAGACAAATCAAAACCTGATGGTTTAAATAATAAAATTTCAAATAAAAAGAAGCAATACATTAGGACTCGATACAAATATATCCAATTAGGACTTGATACAAATATATCCAATTAGGACTCGATACAAATATATCCAATTAGGACTCGATACAAATATCCTAGTAGGACTCGATACAAATATATCCTATTAGGACTGAATACAAATATCCCAGTAGGACTCAATACAAATATCATAATAGGACTCAATACAAATATATCCTATTAAGACTCAATACAAATATCCCAGTAGGACTTAATACAAATATCCTAGTAGGACTCGATACAAATATATCCTATTAGGACTCGATACAAATATCCTAGAAGGACTCAATACAAATATCCCAGTAGGACTCAATACAAATATCATAATAGGACTCAATACAAATATATCCTATTAAGACTCAATACAAATATCCCAGTAGGACTCAATACAAGTATCATAATAGGACTCAATAGAAATATATCCTATAAGGACTCAATACAAATATCCTAGTAGAACTCAATACAAATATCGTAGTGTTATATTTAAAGCATGATGTAATATATAGAGTATGATCGTATACTGGAAACCCATTCAACACTTTCTCCGGCTCTGAGCGGAGTAGAGAACCTGAAGAATAAGTTCAGTGCACAACCAACCTTTCTAGAATACAGACGCAGAGTTTAATCTCCGTTTGTATAGGAAGGCTGGATGGCTTGCACAACATACAGCTAACAGACAGCTAACAGATAGATATATCATCATCATGCCTACCAGGTTACTAAGGAGGACACTGGCCTCCTTCCACCTCTTTATTCAAGAAGATATATCCTTGAAGTCCTCATCATCACTGAAGATATCAGATGACGCTCTTTACTCTCCAACTGGTTTAGGAGACACAAACATACGGGTTCACCATACTCGTCAGTAGATCTCATCAAGAGATTCAAATCCTGTAGCTTCTAGAACTGGACCAATTGCTCTCGTACCATCCCGTCTGAACTACTTACTGGAATATCATGGATACAGAAGAGAACTAGGATATTCAAGATATCAGATGCGGCCTAAACCTGATACTGGAGACACTGATCTTAACAGACAGCTCTTCTTATATCTGGAAGAGATAGAAGATTCAATCAGACTTAGAAGCTGAACCTGATACTGGAGACGCTGCTCTTTACAGACAGATCCTCAAATGACTGGAACAGCTAGAAGATCCAGTCAGACTTAGGACTCCAGGAGCAGAAGCTAAACCTGATACTGGAGAGGTTGATCTTTACAGATAGCTCTTTATGTATATCTGGAGCTGCTAGAAGATCCAGTCAAACTTAGAACTCCAGGAGCAGAAGCAAAACCTGATACTGGAGACACTGATCTTTACAGAAGGATCCTTACATGACTGGAGCAGCTAGAAGATCCAGTCAGACTTAGGACTCCAGGAGCGGAAGCTAAACCTGATACTGGAGACTCTGATTTTTACAGACAGCTCTCCACATATCCAATTATAGGAGAAAAGGGGATCTTGATATTTGAGACGCTGATCTTTACAGACAGCTCTTCACGTATAATATTTCACCAAAGATTCCTCAAAATTGGCTGTTTTTTACATAAAACGTCAATGCCCAAGCAGTGAGATGTTTAATTTTAAATATGTCAATGAAAATGAATCATTTAGATGCTAAAGAATAAATGCCAGGGTGGGGCAAGTGGATTTTAGAGAAAAAAAAACAACTTTTGGCAGTGGCTTAGCGGCCATGGGCTAGTCTTAAGCTTAAACTGCAGTATGCCCCCCCCCTTTTTTTGTTTGTATCTACATTCTATATAGTCTAACAGACTGTAAAACCTGTTGGAAACAGATAAGATATAAAGCGCATGTTTGCAAAACCTACCTTGGAAAAACCAAACCACGTGAACCTATGAATTGGCAGCTTGTCGAGTCGTTGTGTCGAAAAAAAATGTTCAAGATTTCATTTCATAAGAAGGAAATACATTCCATGCAATAATATTGTATATTATATAGTATTTAATATATTCCATGCAATAATATTGTATACTATATAGTACTTAATATATTCCATGCAATAATATTGTATAATATATCGTATTTAATACATTCCATGCAATAATATTGTATAATATATAGTATTTAATATATTCCATGCAATAATATTGTATGATATATAGTATTTAATATATTCCATGCAATAATATTGTATAATATATCGTATTTAATATATTCCATGCAATAATATTGTATAATATAGCGTATAAAAAAAGAAAATGTTAAACCTATAAATCTGAAGAAATATTTTTACCAGGTAGTTTTTCCAATTTTATTTAGGGCCATCACGAATAGGAATAAGAATCTTACAGCCAACATAATTCTAAATTATTGGTAATTTCTGATATCTTAGTATTGGATTATTCTTTCTTCTCCCTAAAACCAAACAATCCTACAACTCGTTATTTCGTATTTTGTGAAAGACTTTAGAAAAGGCCTTTGAGTTCACAAGGCAGCAAGCAACCAATATCTAACAAGCTTTGTGAAACTAAACATTTTTGAACATTCAGGAGGCTCCCCAATAATCCTCTTACATTACATTACTTAAATTACATCATTTTTAAGTTTGATTTTACGACGACTTTACCAATTTTTTGAAAAAATATTTTTTTTTGTCTTATCTTAGTTTCCAAGTATTTCAAATCAAGTATGGGCTTTATGGGAATCTTTGAGCGATTAGATAGGCTTGGATGTATTCCTAATTTAGTGCTTGTTTATTAGGTTTATTTAAAGAACATAAACATTTAGACATAAGATTTGTATTATCCTTAAAATATAATTTATGTGTTTTCTGGAGGTGTTATTCTCTGAAACTGGTGGTTTACTCGAGACGGAAAATTGAATAATTAAACTAGATTATAATGAATAAATAATATTAAACCATACAATGCGACAATAAATTCATTTGTTCTGGAATCTTTTGATGATTTTTTTCAGTAAATCTACAGGGTGTCCTGGGGGGGAATAAGAGTTTAGAAATTGTATTTCCAAAACGGAGAACATTTTTGATTCAATAAGCATTTATATTAAGGCCATTTTTAAAAAGAGAATTAGCTGGTCTGGAGTGGCCAATAGACCATACTATTACAACAAAACTATTTTAATCTTTTTGAATAAACACCATTATTGATTTGTTTATGGGACACCCTGTGTTTGGTATTTTCATTTGTTATGATACATTTTTACACTTTATAATCCTCAACAATAGTATTTATGGCCCAGGGCTCATCAACAGTTTAAAAATATTTATTCAATTCTGTGAAAATGTTAAAGAATTGTTATTATCAGCTTTATCTTTATTCAAACGTGTATCGCAATAATTTCATTGTGATTTTATTTCTTCTTTAAATTATCCAATCCGTACATATATGGATCTTTAATATATTATACAGCTTTTTACTTTATGTTTTACTGTTTAAAATGTTATTTTTGAATGAAAAACATTCCTTTTCAATAGTTTCTACGAATCAAGATTTTTATCCATTTAACACGGAATTCAGGCGAACCATGAGAAACGATTTTAAGATTACGTTTTTCATTAAATTTTAAGATATTTTCAATTTTCCATTGCACTTCAAAATGTCACAAACATCGTTTATAATAAACAACAATTTTAAATACTAAAAATCTAAATAAGTAATAACTTGAATAACTTGAATAATAGAAAAACATCATGCAACTTTAGGTATTAAATGAAAAGAAATATTTTGTAAAAGCTATTTTATAAATAGTATTTTTGGTTGCTTCTACTAAATTGTGTTGTGCGCTTACATAATCTTTAACTTATGTCAAACATTCTTTGATGAAAAGTAGTTGCGAGAAAAATTTTTTTTTGGTCAGATAAACAATTTTGCATAAAGTTATATTTAGCTAACTTATAGAAAATCGGATTCTGGTATGGGGACATCATCTCAGATTCTGTTCGGACACCTTTACAGTAAAAAAACTGATTGTATGAAACAGACCCTGACATGATGCCCAGCTATAAATAAGTCACACGATGCAGACATTACCCCCTATAATATTTTATAAACACTCCCTTTAATTCGACTGTTCTGTGTTAAATATGAACAAAATGGTTAAATCTTTTTAATTAAGCAATTATACATTTTATTTAAAGATTTATTCTTATAAAATAAAGTGAGAATTTTATTAGAATGATCTACTATCTTTACATATATTGGCTTCAGGTGTTTTAAAATTTCGAATATTGTGGGTAGATATATACCCATAGAGAATAGAATATATAGAGAGGAATTTACTAGAAAAAAGTATAAAACGGCCAATTTGTTGCACTGTTTCCATATTGCAGGTGTACTTCACATATTTATGTTATATAACCTTTTGGGCCCTGGAATATCATTTTATAGAAAATAAATCTAAAATTAATGTTAAAAGAAAACTAAATTATGAAATAGGCTGGTTTCATAATTGACCAATGATCATTTCACATAGAATGCCTTTCACTTTACAAACGATGATTTTCCGTTATAACTATAAATCAAATGATGTTTTTATTCACCTAATTCATTATAAAGTTTATTTAACAGTTTGAAAAATTCGAAATTGAAATGGATAGTCTAGCGAACATATTGTATTAATGTACTCTACTGCATATAATTTGTGAACATTTACATGATTTATACACTTTGAACTCCCTTTCAGGCTGAAAGGGACTGAAAAAATTCATACCGAGAGATTCTTTAAATTCCCCTCTAATATATATTCTATTCTCTATGTAAATACCATTTTAAATAGACGAACAAAAGGATATATAATTAATAAGTTTCAAAATGATTTCTAGGTAATCCTTTTGGTTTGATTAATTGATTGATGTCTTTTGTCGAGTAAATGTTTTGCAGAATAGCTTACATAAAGTAAATATAATTGATTTTGTAAAACAATGAACAATTCTTAAACTATTGTGGAACTATTGTGGAACTTCCGAAATTTGTATATTAAATATTTAAAATCGAACCAAATACAAAGAAATCGAATCTTTGCCACAAATTTATATTTTCTAATCCCTATATAAAATTTTATATTTTGTATTTGATCTAAGAGGATCCATAATTTGAAAAATCTAGGGTTTGGAAATTGGATTGCAAAGATATAGGGATTATGAAATGCGAGTTTGTAGCAAAGGCTCAATACCTAGAACAGTGTTCCCTAGTTAACTGTTCAGATTCTAGTTGTTGATGATAGTTTTATACCCTCGATCCTTTATTAATTAGTCATGTCTTGAACTATCAAAAATAATATTCTATGGCTGGCCATTCGTTTTAAATAATATCCATTGCTTTTAATTTCCAAATATTTTTTTTTTAATCCTATACTTGATATGTTTGTTTGAATGTTTGATTAAAATTAAAAATAACCAATACATTTCTTTTTACACATAAACAAGAATAACTAAACAAACTATATAAGGTTGCCATCCCTTAGGAATTCTGGATTTTTGTTCACAGCCATTCATATTTAATAACTTAAACTTTAAATTAATCGACTAATTAAAACTTGATTTCATTTTTTTAAATTTTTTTTTCCTCCACGCAAATAATCTGGTTTGTAAAAAAAGTATTAAGGAACAAAAAGCATTATCAGCTATTTTTAACTTTAATAATTTATTTTAATTAAATACAATATTTTTATATTTTTATATGATATCAGATGGAAACATTTTGAAACTTCTATATTTCTTTTTTCATTCTTTCTTCTTGATCTTCCATTCCTCGTTCATCCTTCAATTCCTTCAATCATACTTCGGCTAATTTTGAATATAAAATTTGCTTTCAAGCATTGTCATCTATAAATAATCTCTTGCATTCTAAATACATATGAATGGTCCACGGCCCGCTTAGATATGATTCTATCTATCTCTGAACTCGGCCGCAGAACAAATTTTATTTTGGTAATTTTTTCCATGGGCCTACCAGCTGATGTAGCAAACCGGACCCTAGATTTGTTGTGTTTATTTTAGGGGCATATTTATGTTTTTTTTAATGTTTCTTTTATACAATTTTTTTTTTTTATTCAAAATAGATTTTTTTTTGTTTACAAAGAATTAATATCTGAAGGAAAGTTCAGGGTCCAAAGAGTAGGAAAGTTTTACAGCTGTGTTGATAAAGAGTGGGCCCTGTGATGTATGAACATGGGGTACTGCAGTGTAATATATTGTAAAAAATAATAATACTTGTCAAGATAAAATCTTTTTTTCGTTCCCGAAAAATGACCTAAGAGTAGTATGGGCGAAATTTACAGGCCAACCTTCCTCCTGGAATCCGAAAAAATGGAGTGTGATATGCTGAGACCATTTTTCTCCTGATGACCTTAATAGGGCTTCTAAAAGACTACAACCTGTAGCCATGCCCATCCTCTAACCCACAGTCATTAGCAGTTCAAGGTAATACTTGATTCAATTTTTGTTTTAAAAAGTTCGATAAATGTGAACTTTTTTGATTTTGACGAAAAATGTTATATTCATTTTTAAACTTCTTTAAAAATTAAAAGATTTGTGTGACTGTACAGTGTACATATAGGTAAACGAAAATTTAGAGGTGAAAAACTTGGACAAACGGTAAAATAAATGGGTTTTTCTTAGATATTTGAACAAATTTGAAAATTTGTGTGAGTGTGCAAAGGGAGAGGGGTTATAGTAATAACGGAAATTTACAGGTCCAAAAGTGCGACAAACTGTAAAATATATGGGGTTTTCAAGGGCGTATACAAAATGAAATGTGGGGGGGGAGGGCAAAAATTGAGTGTNGAAGGGGCTTCCCCCCCCCCCCCCCACCTTCTTACTCTTAGTCAAAAATATATTTATTATTTTGAATCCTCAGTATTATTTATGTTAAAGCCTTAAAAAAGGTCGGGGGACAATTAAGCTATCTTTGAAATAAAGTTTAAAAATTGAAAACTACACAAGGGAATTAAACAAACCGTCCCCCCCCCCCTTCTAAAATTCAGTGGAATATAACTGATTGGCTAAATAAGAAAGGAATTATGCAAGAGCTGGTCCAGGGTCCATTGTCTGCTAGAACTCCAATGTACTGCATATAAAAAAATCGATGATTATAGGTTTTAATACTAATATCTGAATGATTTGTTTGGAATTAAATTAATTTTTTTAAGACCGTCGAATATTGCAACTTTCTGAATTTTATAGGCCGCTTCGTTCTGAATTTGATAGACCGCTTCGTTCTTCAGTATGAGTTGTTTTTAACAATTTTCTCCTTATAGACGCAACAGATAGAAGTAAGATTAGTAGCAATCACAATCGAATATTTTTCCACATTAGCCTATCACCTCTTTCATTTTTCGCGAACACTCCTTTTAAGGTTGATTAATAAAATCATTCCAAATGTCAGATATGACAAATAGTGATATGCTTATCTTCACTATTTCAAATTTCAAATCGAAGAAATGGTGGAAAACATTATTTATACATTGCACAAAGTTGCTGCAAACAAAGCTGTAAATTATAGGTTTATACTTTATAAAATTCGAGAAGTAATTATCATGTTGGAGAACAGAAATTATGAGTCAAAGTTTTATTTTAAGGCAGGCAACCATAAACACAATAGACAATACTTTTTATATTTATTTCATTTTCTCATATTATCAAAGTTTTTATGTTTTTCAAATCAATCTGTAAATGAAATTGGCCTGATCATATTATTAATAAGTAATTTTTGTTTCTGGAAATTTAAAAAAGCTTTTCAAGTCTAACAATCTCTTAGTATTTCGCAGACAAATCTTTCCTGATCACGAGTTTTCAGAATTTGAAAATTAAATTTTATTAAATTTTCAATAAAATCTTGGAGATTTCTCAGAATCTTTAATAGACTAGACTAGACTAGTCTAGACTAGACTTTACTAGACTAGACTAGACTAGACTAGACTAGACTAGACTAGACTAGACTAGACTAGACTAGACTAGACTAGACTAGACTAGACTAAACTAAACTAAACTAAACTAAACTGAACTAAACTAAACTAATCTAAACTAAACTAAACTAAACTAAACTAAACTAAACTAAATTAAATTAAATTTATCCAAACCAAACTAAGCGAATAAAGGACACAAAGCATAAATTAATAAAGTAATTAATTTTTCTATATTTCCTTCAAAGTTTTTTGATCATTTAAAAGGCTACGCTTTATTGCCAATAAATATTAAATCTAAAAATATAAAAAGAATAATGAACTGATTTCTAAAACTTAACATCAAAAATTTTAAAATTTAATATGGACTCACAAAATTCCTTCCACTGACCCTTTGGTGAAAAAATTAGTAGACATACGTAAGCTTATACTAAATATATTTTTACACAAAAAGTATATAATTATATGCAAGGTGTAATGCAAGGAAAGTTAATTGCGGTCGTGTATACTCTGCGTACACATTGAAACCAGTTCTCCTTGGGTGGAATTTGTAAACAACAATAGAGGCATCAGTGTTCGTTTAGTATCGTTTAGTAAATTTTGATAATTTTGATAATTCACATAATAGTTTCCTATGACCAGAATATTTCATTGATTTTTTTATGTGAAAGATGGATCCCATGTCAGGCTTTGACATCCGTCTTGTGTTTACATTACCGCCCAGAGACAGTACACTGCAGTACAAAAGATGTGTACACTTCTGAAATAACTTTCCTTGCATTACATCCATGATCTAAAGTGAGTACCAGAAAACCCTAGAATAGGAAACGACTTTTAGGCTGAAAGTATAAGACTAAATGAACATGAGAGACAACAATTTTGCAGTGTAAATAGTCCCATTTTACTTTTAAAGTTATTTAAAAACATTTAACACACTTTTCAGTTGCTTTAAAGTCGTCTTTATATTTCAGAGTTTTTTGGTTATCATTGTATAGATTAGGTTATCTTAAACATATACAGTTTTCTGATTAAAACTGAATATGTTTAAGTTATCAGATTTTTCTGATTATAATTGTAAATTGTTCAGAGTTTTCTGGTAATAACTGTAAATATTTAAGTTATCAGATTTTTCTGATTATAATTGTAAATTGTTCAGAGTTTTCTGGTTATAACTGTAAATATTTAAGTTATCAGAGTTTTCTGATTATAATTGTAAATTGTTCAGAGTTTTCTAATTATAACTGTAAATATTTAAGTTATCGAGTTTTTTGATTATAACTGTATATATTTAATTAATCAGAGTTTTCTGATTATAACTGTATATGTTTAAGTTATCAGAGTTTTCTGATTATAACTGTATATATTTAATTTATCAGGTTTTCTGATTATAACTGTATATATTTAATTTATCAGAGTTTTCTGATTATAACTGTATATATTTAATTTATCAGGTTTTGTATATATTTAATTTATCAGAGTTTTCAGAGTTTTCTGATTATAACTGTATATATTTATCAGAGTTTTCTGATTATAACTGTATATATTTAAGTTTATAAAGCGTGAAAGGGAGTAAGTTTTCTCAAAACTCAGACTAATTTTAATGATACAAATAAAATACTTCAAACTTATTATTTGCGAACTTTATTTGATTAAATTTAATTCAATTTCTTATACGTATTCAATTACTGAATACGATTTAAGTAATAAATATTTGAAAACTTTTATTTATTCCCTGAAGCCAAGAAAACAGTTCTAAACAGAAAAAAACAAAAATTACAGTTAATTACGGAAAATTATATTAAATGTTAATGAATTAAAAACATTTTTTAAGCTTTCAATTCTTTGGTTTAAAAGGATAAATATACCCCCTGCAGATTCACCCATTATCAAGTTTTAAAAAAATACGCAAAACATTTTTTCAAAATCATATCTTTGTTTAGATATATTAAGACCAAACAAGTTTATGACAAACATATGATAACACTTTTATATCTGATAAGATAGATAGATAGTAGTATTAGGAATTGAATAAACTAGATAGCTGATAGACAGATTAGTGACATGGGACATCACATGATCCCGTAAACTTTTTTGTTTTACAATGTATACAAAGAGAAAATGTTCACAATTGAAATAGAAGATGGGCGTGAAGCGCACTAAAAGCCTAGTACTCAATATTTGTAATCTGTTGATTTAATTTTTAATGTATTTGACTTATGTAAAGTTGAGTTTATTTTCAATTACTCTGCCTTGCTAAGACAAATAAGAGAATTTAAATGTGAAAAGTAAAGATAGTTTTTAAGATTGATATATAAATCCATAGTTTAAAATGGCAGGACTGAGCAGTGAACAACTTGATGAATTTAGGTAAAAAACATAATAAAAGAAACTTAATGTGCAAGTGCACTACACTGCACTGTACAGTGACACAGTACAGGTAATATGCAACCGAATTTACTTAAGCATACAGGGTTACCAACAAAGGACGAGACTGTAAAGACGTTTGCAACTCTTGAAATATGACAATTTAAAGGTTAATGTATGCCTATTGTTTTGAATATTATCTTTAAATGCCTTTTTATTGATTTGGAAAAGAACTGTAGGAACTAGTTTACAACTGCTGTGATCATATCATGAATGTAAGGAAACAGACAGTATAAATTTCGAACAGTCGTCTTTGAAGTCTCATCTTTTGTGGGTAATCCTGTAATAAAGTTAAATAAATCGTTGCTAAAGCATTTAATTAACTGTCTCCAATGTGTTCAGAGAGAATGGCTGTAACTTGTAAAGCTTTAAGTTATACGTTTCCAATGTGTATAGTGGTAATGGTATTCAAGCATAAATAAATCATCTGTTTCCAATGTGTATAGAGAGAATGGTATGTAACTTGTAAAGCTTTAAGTTATACGTTTCCAATGTGTATAGTGGTAATGGTATTCAAGCATAAATAAATCATCTGTTTCCAATGTGTATAGAGAGAATGGTATCTAAGTATAAACCAATCATCTGTTTCCAATGTGTATAGAGAGAATGGTATCCAAGCATAAATAAATCATCTGTTTCCAATGTGTATAGAAAGAATGGTATCCAAGCATAAATAAATCATCTGTTTCCAATGTGTATAGAGAAAATGGTAATTAAGTATAAAGAAATCATCTGTTTCCAATGTGTACAGAGAAAATGGTCATTAAGTATAAAGAAATCATCTGTTTCCAATGCGTATAGAGATAATGGTATAAGTATAAACAAATCATTTGTTTCCAATGTGTATAGAGAATGGTATAAGTATAAAGCAACCATCTGTTTCCAATGTATCTAGAGAGAATGGTATCTAAGTATAAAGCTATCATCTGTTTCCAAGGTAACTAGAGAGAATGGTATCTAAGTATAAAGCAATCATCTGTTTCCAATGTATCTAGAGAGAATGGTATCTAAGTATATAGCAACCATATCTTTCCAATGTGTCTAGATGAAATGATATCCTAAACCAATCATCTGTTTCCAATGTGTCTAGAGAGAATGGTATCCTGGTTGTAAAGAATTTCTTGAGTTTGGGTGAGGTTGATTCCTTAAGAGCTGCTTGCTCTCAGCTTGTCCAGGTAGTGATCCTTGAAAAATATGATATTTATAAAGTAAATTGCAAAATGACATTTTCGAAAGTTCAAGTCTCAAATTGAAAAAATTTTATTCCTTACATGTCACTTTGGGAAGCAAAAAGTGGTTTTACAGAAAATGTAAGATACTTAAATGTGGCCCCAATTAATCATGATGATTTTTTTTAAATTTTATATTGCCGACAATCTTCAAATACTGGCAGGATTTGGATTTTAAAACTTATGTGTTTTGTTGTCCAGGATATGGATCCTGCTCAGCATAGAGGAATATTCTCTACTACAGATCACCAGCAAGCTACAGATACATACTTTCTTAACTCAGGAGACAAGATTAGGTAATCCAGCAGGCTACAGATACAAACTTTCTTAACTCAGGAGACAAGATTAGGTAATCCAGCAGGCTACAGATACATACTTTCTTAACTCAGGAGACAAGATTAGGTAATCCAGCAGGCTACAGATACAAACTTTCTTAACTCAGGAGACAAGATTAGGTAATCCAGCAGGCTACAGATACAAACTTTCTTAACTCAGGAGACAAGATTAGGTAATCCAGTCCAGAGACAAGATTAGGTAATCCAGTCCAGAGACAAGATTAGGTAATCCAGTCCAGAGACAAGATTAGGTAATCCAGTCCAGGGACAAGATTAGGTAATCCAGTCCAGAGACAAGATTAGGCAATCCAGTCCAGAGACAAGATTATGTAATCCAGTCCAGAGAAAGATTAGGTAATCCAGTCCAAAGACCTGAGTCCGAATTTAATGAATTTGAGCTGCGTATAAAATCCGCCAAAAACCGGTTTCATTTGAGCGCCGGCTTAAATCTTGAAACATTGGATACCATTTTAGGTGAAACCAACTATATTGAGCTGCGACCTAAATTTAAGCCACTGCTCAAATTCTTAAAATTCGGCCTCTGATTTCTTAAATTATGCCTGACAACATTGAACGTACTTTTAGTTTGAATATTTAAGAATATAATAAGAAATGCTAACTCTAATTATTTTCTCATATTTGAAGAAAATATATCTTAACCTTTAAGACAATTGAAAATTTGATGCTCAAGAGAGATTGAAACAAAATATACACTTTCTTAACAACATAATCTCAGTATAATATGAAATAAGACTCAAATATTAAGTAGAACTTGATATTTATTTTTTGAAAAATATTTAAAGAATTAGAAATTTGAAGAAGTAGAAATATTTTAATCCAAATTTTACATTCAATATGAAATCTCGTAAATGTGTACGTTTACACAATATCCAAATATGACGTTAAAGTATAATAAAAAGTATGTGAAGGAACTGTGCTTGTAATTTAAAAAGTCGCATGTTCGACTAACATCGGCAGTAGGTCTCCTGAACCCCTTTATCTGATTATTTATATGGAAGATTTTTTTAAGAGGTTTAACTAACTTTTTAGATATTTTTTCGAGGCAGAAGCGTTCGATGTTGATGGTAACCTTGTCCTGGAGAAATCTAGTGCTCTCAACAAGGAACATTTTATTATTATTTTTAATTATATAATATGTTTTGAAATGTTAATTGTATCTGATAGAAATTGCTGGGATTATTGTACTTGGCCTTGGGCAATACCACCCAATCCGTGGCCTTACAATATATATATCAATAAACACTAATATTGCTTCATAAATCGATAATTTTTCAAACATGAAGATAGAAAGTACTGGGGCACATAGATCCAGACTGCTATGGAAAGTTGTATCAGTTTTCAAGACTGGGTCAACTTTAAAGTGTCCAACGCACCCCGGACTAACCAGAGTGAAGAACATTCGGTTTCTTCTCTATTAAATTAAACGTGTTTTGGTCTATGATTCAACAATCTTTAAAGTAAGGATTTTTTTTCTATACTTTTTCATTCAAAATGTATATGCCGACAAATAAGTATCTTAGAAAAAATCATAAAAAGTTATGTTTAATGGGTCAAATTGTGATCGAAAGTCACAGCTTTCTGAAATATTGACAGAACCGTTAAATCCACGTGAACGTCTCGGGCTTTAATTTTGTCCTTACTATCTCGCTTCTACTTATTTGAGTTTTAACACTTTAATGCATCTTTAATGCACTTTAATGCACTTTAATGCTCTTTAATGCACTTTAATGCACTTTAATGCACTTTAATGCACTTTAATGCTCTTGTTTTTAACTTTAGTTTTTAAGAAGTAATTCGCAAAATTCCCAAAGATTTTAGCGTGAGAGGTTGCAACCTTTGCATCATGAGGGCAGCCCCGTCTTTTTATAGATCATCTGGATCCTGCCCGCCCTCCGGCTAAGATATAACAACCTCTCGTGATTATACTATTTCAAGTCAGGTTAAGTTAGATGTATAGATAGATAAGAAAGGGGGGGGGGTCTGCAGAAGAACTATGAGAGGACAGGTCCGCCGGTTTTTTTCCAGGGAGTAAGGAATAGAAGGGAGATATAACTGACGCGGTTCGCCCTACCATATGAGTATACATGCTTTGCAGACGGTTATCATGTATACGCGGTTATTGTACATCAGACAAATATTTCTTATACAAATGAAGTACCCGTCTGCAAAGCATGAATAATCATATGGTAGGGCGAACCGCGTCAGCTATATTTCCTTTCTATTCCTTACTCCCTGGTTTTTTCCTAATTAAGGTTTTAAAATAATGGATGTATCAAGTTCAAGGATGATGTAAATGTAATATTAGATGTAAAATAACATAAACTAATATAATGTAAACTTTACAGATGGGACATTCTCTTCATACTCTTGATGAAAACTTTAGGAATAAACTTTTTTAAATCAACAATTTTACATATTTTTAAATCAACAATTTTACATATTTTTAAATCAACAATTTTATATATTTTTAAATCAACAATTTTACATATATATTTTCTTCATTTTCTTATTATTTAGATGTACACCTTGAATACCAATTTCAAACGAAATAAAAAACCTTTTTTTCCCAGCAGAACAAAAATAATGAACTTGACTACATATAATAAAACAAATTACCAATTTGTTTAACTTGTATCCAATGCTAGGAATTCTTTTTAAAATTGTAAATATTCAAAATTAAATTTCTAATATTATATTTGAAATTTAAATTCCAAGAAATAGATTCACAATTTCTATTTTAGTCTTTTATTAACCCAAGTTTTATATTAAAAAAAAAAGGTGATAAGAAATAAAGATGTTAATATTAAACGGTTACTCATAATCTTTCCTTGTATTTTTCTCATTTAAATACATAAATAAGATGAAAAATAAAATTGAGTTTTTTGACAAAGACTTATCGATACGGCCCAATTTTTTTGTGGGACCTAAATTTATAAAGCCGAAAAGTCATTTGAAGTCATTTTCTTTTAATGCGTTAAAGGAAAGTTGATCTTAATACAGAAAAGTCAGTTTCTCAGATAAAGTCCAAGCTGTTGCACGGAGCCTAGGTAAGGTTAAAGCGCAGGGTTTTTCAAATAGACATTGATTACAACCTGAAACTAATTAATTCTGACAATCTAACTGTTACATTTTGATCAATTGTTTTATAGATTTATCAAACGATGTAGTAAAGAAAGAAAAAAATCCGAAAAATAGTCACTGACATCTCACCTTTTGTAAATTAAACATATATTTTTCCCGATTCATCTGTTCTTATTATTATTATTATTATTTATTTATAATCAACAATATAAAAATGTTTATCTAAATACATATAAACTTTAACTATGGCTCCATAAAAAGTGTTTAATTATTGATATGCAAGCATGGCACATAGAGACGTATTATCTGCAGTAATCATATATTTTCTTCAATTTAACTATTTTCAGGCATGAAGGAGCCAGCGATTGTTCAAGGAATGTATATATTCAAACAACCTGGTGTAGGTATGTAATACTATACATACTAGACTTTAATAATAGATGTGAATCGGCTGCAGTGTAACTTATAGTAAAATAATAAATAATAAATAATAAATAATAAATTATGAATAATAAATAATAAATAATAAATAATAAGTAATAAATAAACAATAATAAATAATAAATAATAAATAATAAATAATAAATAATAAAAGGTGGAGAGGTGACTCCTCATCAGGATGGAACATTTCTGTTTAATGATCCATTATCCTTGTATGGATTCTGGTTCCCAGTAGATGATGCTACCCTAGAGAATGGATGCCTTTGGTACTTTTTTTATTAAGGGACTATTCATCGATTGAAAATACTTCTATACAGTGATAACCAAAAACCTGTGCTTTGGGAAGACGACAGTAAAGCAAAAATTAGGTCTATTTAAGATTGTTACAAAGCAAATATCAGAGAAATGGGTCTGTTTACACTGCACAATTGCTGTGTCTCATTTATTCAATGAACTATAGTGTTTAATTCCAAACTTAAGTCTAAAAGTCGTTTTTATATTCCAGAGTTTTCTAGTTTTCACTGAAGAACAATATTTTTAGTCAAGCTTTCGATAAAACAATAAACATGACAATTTTATGTAAAATTCTTCGATTTTAATACTTTTTCATTTTAATTTTGAAAAATTTATGATGTTTAATAAATTTTGAAAATTGATTTTTTATTCTTAGATCTCAAATATACAGATACAATTTCTGAATTCCATTTGATATCTCATATCTAAGATATTAATGTTAAAACCTTGAACAAAGGTATGTACCTGGCTCCCACTCTACTCCCATCAATAGAAGATTTATCCGAACTAACCAGGAGGATAAGTAAGTAAAATATTCAAATATATATTGTAACTAGCATTTAAACCCAGCTTTATCTGGAGATTAAAAAATGTAAATCAAGCTGAGAACATTTCTATGGTTCTATATGTGAGTTCCCCAATCAAAACATGAGGCATATTAGTCAAGGTGCTCGTGAGTTATGATCGGACTATACAGAAAATACTACTTTATACATGCTAAAATAATTTCATAATTTCTCGCTGTATTTATAAAAACATGAAAGACATGGATTTCTTAACTACATACAATTGGATCCATCATCAATCTCCATAATCTATTTCTGCCCTATGCAATATTTTATCCTTTATCTCCAACCCTAAGGAGATTTGGCATTTATTTATAAGTAAACGCTATAATTTACACAGCATTAAAACCTGATATAAGCCAAACCTTTACTTTGAAGCGATTTAAAGCTTAATCCATGAAAAAGAATTTGACTCAAATTTGTTCAAACTCTCATTTGTACGATAGTAGAACTTTTGTGGGTGGATGCCTCCTTTAAGATATCAAGAAAAAAAACGAATTTATTTAATCCGTCGGATTAGTGATTAGTGCTTTATTTATTGATTAATTACATAATAAAAATTATAGTAATAGTAAAGTGAAAAAACTCAATATACAGGTTGCTAGACTTTCATGGATTAGTATAATTGTTAGGGTGCAGTGATTAAACCTATTGTTTAGATTGCTAGGATGCAGTGATTAAACCTATTGTTTAGGTTGCTAGGGTGCAGTGATTAAACCTATTGTTTAGGTTGCTAGGATGCAGTGATTAAACCTATTGTTTAGGTTGCAAGGGTGCAATGAGTAATACTATTGTTTTGCTATGGTGCAATCAGTAATACTATTGTTGAGGTTGCTAGGGTGCAGTGATTAAACCTATTGTTTAGATTGCTAGGGTGCAGTGATTTAACCTATTTTTTTAGGTTGCTAGGGTTAAGTAATTAAACCTATTGTTGAGGTTGTTAAGGTGCAGTAATTAAACCTATTGTTGAGGTTGTTAAGGTGCAGTGATTAAACGTATTGTTTAGATTGCTAGGGTGCAGTGATTAAACCAATTGTTAAGGTTTCTAAGGTGCAGTGATTAAACCTATTGTTTAGGTTGCTAGGGTGCCGTGATTAAACCTATTGTTTAGGTTGCTCGGGTGCAGTGATTAAACCTATTGTTTAGGTTGCTAGGGTGCAGTGATTAAACCTATTGTTTAGGTTGCTAGGGTGCAGTGATTAAACCTATTGTTTAGGTTGCTAGGGTTTCGTGGAACTGATCCTGTATATCCTGATGATGCTTGGGTTGCTGCTCCTGTAAACCGAGGGGATCTGGTTCTAATCCATGGCCAAGTAGAACATTGAAATAAATGCGGCAGATTTCAGATTCCAGATTTCAGCTTTATATCTAGCTAATTAATAGTAAATATTTAACATTTTCACAAACTCTATCTATTTCTCTGAGAACTAAGGTTAGTTTTAGACGAGAACTGTGATAATTGAATTTCCAAGAACCACTAACAAATTTGTTTTAACTATTTGATTTTTAAATCGTTGTGGGGAAGGCTTTAAATTGCTGTGTAGGAAAAAGCATCACACGACACGAGACACAGACAACTTTCAAGAAAGATTTATAAAACGATTGATAATATACAGATAATATGCGTTTTGGAGACTCTATAATCTGTTCTATATTCCAGGTATTCCATAAATCTGAGAAAAACATTTCTGAGAAACCCCGACATGCCTACACTTTTCATGTTATAGAAATGCAGGGATCAGACTACAGCAAGGTAATCATTAATCAAGAAAATAAGAAAACCTTCCTGTTAAAACAACAGATTAAATGTTTGATAAATCATGTTTTGGAAAACACTGAAATTAAATCAAACATTGGGAAAACAACATCTGATGAACTACGGAACACCTAGTAATTAATTTGATAACTGGACGTTTCTCCTTCTTGTCTTGGCGGCAAATGCTTAATTTTACAGTTCTGGTAACTTGCTGAAACTAACATATTTTTGGTTGGATAGGGTTTGCCGAGACTTGCATATTTAAAAAAAAAATTCCACAAAAAAAAATTAAAATTGTATATGTACTGCGTACATTAAACACATGTACACTGTACAGTGTACAGTGGTTGATGTAAGCAAAAATTTTACACATATCTCCAGTCTTTCAATAACTGTCATGGAGGAACCTGGCTGTTTTGTTTTCGGAAAATGCGGAAAAATATTCTCTAGGATAGAGATTATTTCCTGTACTCCAAGAATTATTTTGAGAACACTTATTGGAAAGGGAACCAAAAGCTTCAGAAAACCCCCGAGGCTTCCTCTATAAATTTGTAATGTATTTGATGAAATTTTGAATAATGAACCCACAACTAAACTGAACGATGGTTTAGAAGTTTTACAGCTGACCAGCCTGGAATACAGACTGCATGGAAGTCCTTTTTAGGTCTTAGAACAGAAGACACATTGGCTAAATTACTTAACTCAAAGAGCTCAAAGACAAGACCTACACTGATCCGCAGCCAGCTCAATCGACAAGAATTCTTGAAAGAAATATACGATTTAAACTAATTGTAAACTCTTTTGATGTATCCAATTCAAATTATCTTTTACAAATAATAAATAACTAATTTTTTGTCAAACTATTAGTGTTATTCTTTACTGTAATTTTCAGTTCATTCGTATCGACACTAATATTAAACAAATTATGTTGTATTAAAAAAAGCAGCATCTATGCATCAATGTTTTTAACTCATGGTTAACTTTAAAGTGTCGCCTTGGCCTATAGTTTTACCGCACTAACTAACTCATGCTTTTTTATAGCCCGAGACATGTTGAATTTAAGATTTGAAGACACTCATGTTTAGCATTTGTAGTTTTTAAACAGAAAAACTTGCATCCTTTGGATCACTGAGTATGACGCATTACAAAGCAAAAAAAACGCGTTCACATTGAAAACGAACAAAAAAAACGACACGTTCACCTTTATTTAGAAGTTTGATTAAATTGTTTGCTGGTAAATCTACAATAATCTGAATAAAAATAAAATAAATTAATATTCTTTTTTAGGAGAATTGGTTGCAAGCACCAGAGGGCCAGAAACTTCCCAGACTATTCATGGAATAAAATTATAATTTGTTTGATAAATATTTGTGAGTTTTATAAGTTTAGCTTAAAGCTTGAATTCATTTCAAAATCAATAAAGTTCTTATCTTGATTAAGATTTACAATGTGCAGCCAGGGCTGGGCGCGATCCAACTTTTTCTAGCCGTTTCGTTAACGGTTAGTTTCAACCGTTAAAAAATAAAAATTTCAGCTAGCCGTTAATTTTAAAGGTAAGAACGGAACGATCTCAATTTTTTTAACGGCATTAACGGAAAATTGTCTACAATCCGTAATAATTATTACAAAATTAATGGCGTTAACGGCGCAAAGCGCTTAAAAAATTTAATCATGTCTACTGTCCTGTTTTTCACAACAGAAACGTTTACAAGTCAATTATTTTCTGGGCCTTTGTCCTTTTTTTAAGTTGAGTTTTTCATTTTCAAAAATGTCTATCTCTAGTTATAAATTTATATCATAACAGTATAATAAAATGTCGATTTTTTAGAAACAATGCTTTTTTCGGCTAGTTTTGTTTGATAGGAGAGATAAAAAATCTTAAACTTATGCCTGATATCCATGAGAAGCCAATTGTTTTGTATTTACAGTTCAAATTTCGCCCCCCCCCTCTTNAAGAATTCAGATCTTCCAAGTTCAAATAGCTCTGACGAAAGTATATTTAATCCTTGTCAAACCACAGATACAGGTTCTTCCAATTCTCTTTTAAACCAACTGGAAAGCATCCAATTAGAGAACCTTACGCCATTACTCAGCCAATCAGAATCCAACTCTTCCACTAGACAACCAGATGATTGTTTACTTTTCTCTAACCAATCAGGATCCAACTCCTTAGCTTTCAGCCAATCAGGGGGGCATGAAGCTTCAAGGAACTGTAAGCGTAAAGTGATCCACCATATGCAAAGATGGCACAGACCGATTCACAGTACCCATGAAAGCTCTGTTTGATCAACTGTGAATTAGATAGCGATGTGTATAATTTTGAAAACTGATTACTTTTATCTTTGTTTCTCTTCAAAATTGCTCGCGCATTTCTTCTAAAGGAAAACGTATCAGAATTAGACGCTTTGTAAACTCAGATAACGCCCATAGCTTCCACATTATTCAGCAGATAAAGGTTTTAAGGATTCCGTTGTGAATGGGCATCGAAATTACACTTACAGTCCCTTTAGTTTGAAAAAATCTTTGTTTAATTCTTAGTTTATTTGACAAATATGGCAATACTTGACTTTATTGATCCGGTCCTAAATCCTGCAATTGTTTCAGAGAATATTTGAATCCGTTGAGTTGGGTAGAACATTGGTATTCCAGTACTAGCAACAGTACAGCTATGTACAGCCAGCAAAACAAGCCTGAAAGTAAACTAAAGCTGGAGCTTTGGGAGGAATCAGGATTGAGGCAGAATATACCTCTATGGGATGTTGGTTCTAGAAGTGTACATACTGTAGATGTTTATCAGCAGCCCTGTAGATCTGCGCTAATTAACATGGCTTCTGATATGCTGCTGCAGTACGTTTGTAAACAAACATCACCTTCTCCGTACAGGTTATTATTTTTGCTTTAATACTGTCGGAAATGACCTCTCCGCAAAGATACGCATGGCTAATCAAAAACAATTAAAATAGTTAATCTTTTGTTTTTCAAAAATAATAAATAATTAACCTGTAAAGCACAATTGTTAAAATATTTTTGAACTATTAAATGTCGCAAAAATTCATAGACGCGGACTTCTAGGGAATAGTTGTAAAACTTGAAAAGTGTTAATGAAGCAGAGGTTTATATTTTGATTCTGTTGTACCACTAATTTTGTTTGAATAATTGGTCGTTTTAATTCNTTTACTTAAAAATCAAATAAAAACCTGAAAAAATAGTTTTAAGTGAGTTATGAGGATATGGGAAACTGATAACCCCAGTAGGAATTTAAGTTGAAGTTCAAGGAAAGTTCGAATTTGGCTCACACAGGAAACAAAACGAAAAATTCTTAGCAGAATATTGGTTTGTAGTACATCTACTATATATTAGATGATAACAAGGTTTTACATATTCATGGGGAGGTGGGTTCCTTAGTTGCTGTTTTCGGAATAAGAGAAAATTGGTTTTAATTTTTGTTTGCTTCGCCATTCAGTATTACAACATGCTAAAGAATTAAGATTAAATTGTTATGCATATATTTATATTATTTGGTTTCGCTTAGATACCGTTTCTGGTAAATTAAAAAACAAATCTGTAACTGGACTTTTTTTCACAATATATTCTCGAAATTTTTAGCATGTTCATTTAACTGTTATTGAATACGTTTAAGGATTTCGACACCCTTATATCAAGTATTGATCTCGATAGCCATAATACAAGAGTTTCTCACCTCTGCTAGGAATATGTTGACCACAAAATCATCTCAAGATCAATGTTCTTGTATATTCTATCAAATTTCCAATCTTGTTTTTATATTTAGATTAGCTGGTGAGACCCTGGCCAAATCCAACCTGAATCCCAACGCTAAGGAGTTTACCCCTAGGGGTCTCCTTCACCCCTATATATCCCAGGAGAAACTAGAGGAGATGATTGAAGAGGATAGATTAGTCAACCAGGTCCTTAAAACTTCACTCAAGGAGGCCTTGGCTCCGAAGAATCTAGGTAGTTTAGGGACTTTAGAGGTTGACATGAAGATGTTAAGTGTAAATAGAACCGAGTTATTAAACAAAGACATTGACCCTTGCTTCATGTTAAAACAAACAAGTAGTAATCTATCTGTTAATAAGAAATGTACCAACAAGAGCTGTGATGTAAATATACAGAAATCTACTGTAGAGTCTTCAGATTGTGATAAATATGAAGATTTGTCTGTAAAATCTTCCAGTTTTGATGCACATGAGAACAAATCATTTGAAGAAACTGCAAATATCGATCCACACACAGAGAAGTTAACTGATAAACAATTAGAAAACTGTGATGAACTAATAATTGATAAAGATGGAGTTCAGGCTCGAACTGAAGATGGGACTAAAGCTGTTGAACTTGTACAGGATCATTTCCATAACAATGTTAAGAATGAGCATACCGGAGAACTTGGAGAAACTAACGACGATGTCACTAAGGTAAATAAGAAATGACAGGGGGNACAAAACTTGAAATATTTGTTTTCTTCCAAAAGTTATTAGCTGTAACACATTGAATTATCTGACAATTTATCTTTCCTTTAATTGATTTCCAAAATAAATCTATTTTGATAAAAGTTACGCTCGAATCCAGGATACGGATCCAATTCAGAATATATGAAACTGATTCTAAGCATTGATTTATGGACAAATATTATTTGTGTTTTATAAAATGAATTTTTAGTTTGAAAGTCTCAAGAATTCAGATCTTCCAAGTTCAAATAGCTCTGACGAAAGTATATTTAATCCTTGTCAAACCACAGATACAGGTTCTTCCAATTCTCTTTTAAACCAACTGGAAAGCATCCAATTAGAGAACCTTACGCCATTACTCAGCCAATCAGAATCCAACTCTTCCACTAGACAACCAGATGATTGTTTACTTTTCTCTAACCAATCAGGATCCAACTCCTTAGCTTTCAGCCAATCAGAATCGAGCATAAGCAGCCAATCAGATCAATCTGATCTTAGCTCATCTCCCGGCTCTTCAATAGGAAGGTAGGAAATTAAAGATAGGAAATAAACCCCCTTGACGAATTTGATTTCCTGTTTTTGATTTTCTAATTTTGTGTTATATTTTTAGTTTTTCAAGAAATCTAAGTGAGAGTTCTGAGGATGATTTTGTTCAGTTTCTGAGTCCTAGATTAGTTTTATCAAGGGAAGAGAAGAAATCTGTAGGATCAGTCTCGACCATTCAAAAGGATACGAAGACAGATGATGAGAATGTGGAGACTGAAACAGCTGATGAGGATGAAGATTGGGACGAGGTTGATGGTGATGATATCCCTGCCCCTGAATTTGATTTGGTAATTTAACATTAATTATGGACAAGTGGTAAAAAAAAAATTGTACAACTTTTATTTTTTCGCCTACACTTAAAAAACACCCTCCTCCCGGGGCCCGGGTAGGGGTGTAATTCTTGAAAATGTAAACCCCTGAATTCTTAATATCCCCCCCCCCCCATAAGTATAACCAAGCATAGTTATATCCACGCTCTTGGGTTAAATAATATACTATTATAAAAGTATAGAAAGGCCTTTCTTATTTCATTAAATTATAAATTGTGTAAAGTTGCGCAGTTTCTGATGAAATATTAAAAATGTCGTCTTCATGAGACATGTTGCAACAGTTTCAGAAATACGTGACAAATTATCCATCAGTAGTGAACCAAGAGCACAGTCATAACTATTCAATATTTACATTTGATATTATTTAAAATTTTAGTTTTAAAACTGAAAATAATTTTGGTTGAACTATATCTAACATTAAAACTGCAGTCTGCTAGATTTGTGACGTCAGTCTCAACTGTACACATTTATTTTACTCATGTAGAAAAATATGGAAGAATAAAGACCAAAATTAAGTAAAGTTCAGAAAGTGCGTATTTCCGTCAATCTTTACACAGTTTATTGCCACTAAATGATCATGCAGTATCACAGTGAAGAAAATAAAGTGAAAATATCAAACTTGAAAAGTGTTTCTGGAGTAAAAATTCAAGATACTAAATCAAAGATGTTGTTTAGTCTTCAGATGGAGCCTTGGGACCGCTATTATACCATTATAAGTAATATTTGTTCACAGACAGGATCACCCTCCTTGATCGATGAATACAAAGGAAGAATGATGCAATAATTTGACTTTGAAAACTCTAACATTTCTTGGAAGTTACCAACCGTCAAAGTATGGATAATACCAACCGTAATACTAAAGGATGGAGTAGTTTAGTGGGCGGTAGAATGCAAGAACAAATTAATAATTTCAGGTATATTGCAGAATTTATGTATTTACACTTTTCATTATTTTGTGCGAGTTATTTTTCCGAGTCCAATAGTTTTAGATATGGAGATAATCCGGTTATTTTCTCTTTTAGGACTTCAGGATAACTACACTTAAAAAACACCCTCCTCCCGGGGCCCGGGTAGGGGTGTAATTCTTGAAAATGTAAACCCCTGAATTCTTAATATCCCCCCCCCCCCATCTTCCAAATGAAATCCCTTAAAATACACTCCCTCCCCCCCTTCGGGAGATTTGATAAATGTAATTTGATTCAGTTTTAGTAAAATATTTAAAATTTGGTTCCTTAGAAACTAATCTCATTTAAATATTTTAACGACGGCCATTTTGATTTTTGATAAATTTTCTCAAATAAACTTCTTGAAAATTGAATTTAGCTCTTTAAGGAGAACATCATTAATTAGTTTGACATTATTTTGTAATATTTTACAATTACCTATTCTAGGAATTTCTGTCACCTTTGTTTTTAACAAACAGCACTGGGGCCACACAGTGTTCCGCCCTTTCTTCTGCCAACCCCAACCCCGCCCTGTCCTCACTGAAACCTAGCTCCCCCTTCCCTAGTATCAAACCTAGCTACGACCCTAGAATCCAACCTAGCTCCGCCTCCCCTAGTATCCAACCTAGCTTCACCCCTCCTAGTATTCAACCTAGCTCCGCCTCCCCTAGTATCCAACCTAGCTCCGCCTCCCCTTATTGCCAACCTTGCTCCACCTCACCTAGTATCCAACCTTGCTCCGCCTCCCGCCAACCTAGCTCCGCCTGTCCCCGACTTCACTTCTCCCTCTGTGTTTACCCTCGAATCACGAAGGAGGAAACTAGGAAAGAATCAAACTTGTTTGAGCTAAGGATGAAGGATGATACACCAAAGATATCTGATCTGAATATTGAAGATGAAGAAGTTAAGATCTCAACTCTAGAAAAGATAAATAGAATCTGGAATGCAGTACCTAATGTTGCCAGGTAATTTTTCTTACAGTCTTTTACAAAATATCCACTTCTCAAAGGGGAGGGGGAGGAATTCAATAAATATCCCCTTCTCAAGGGGGAGGGGGGAGGGAGGAATTCAATAAATATCCACCTCTCAAGGGGGAGGGGGGTAGGAATTCAATAAATATCCACTTCTCAAGGGGGAGGGGGAATTAAATAAATTGAAAAGTTTGGGTTATTTTACTCTTGATAGTCTAATGTTTGTTTCCATTTTACATAGTTATGGTTTTTTAGCTTTGTGTGTATTCTAGTTTTCTTTTGTATTTTCTCTATTGAATTGTATCTCTGTAGACCTATTTATAATGTTAGAATTGTAAAATTATAATCCTGCCAATTTACAGAGAACATTGTTATTATTATTACTTCAACCTCAAATCCATGTCACCCTGTAAATCTGGGTGAGCGGCCGGGGGGTAATTTACAGAGAGGGTGTTTCCAAATTGATTTGGAACAGGAGAATCGGGGGTAGGGGATATTAATGACCTCTTTATCCAAAATGATTTTGCAATTCATGGCGATATTATGAATTTGATGGAAAATTATGATTAGTTCTTTTAGTATTTTTGATTAAACTGACGTTGTAAATTACTTGTTTGCAAAATATTTAATGGGCATAGTATGATACGCATTGTTGATCTCTTAAATTGATTTTTTTTTCATTCTTTTTGGTTCCTTCTAGAACCTTCTTTATATATTTCAAATTCAATTATTATTTATGTTTAAATACATAAATTCAGGAAGAATATGGTGGTTGTACAGTTTAGTTCAGATCCAGACACTCTTCATTGGGAACCAGAGGGACAAGTAGATAATCTTAAACAGGTAGCTTATATAAGATATAAACTTTTCAGCTTTTAAAAGGCGCCAAAATAATCTCAGAAGGGCATGAATCAGGGTTGGAAAAATTGCGGGTTTTTTCAAAAACAAAAGAACCCGGCCAGTGGGTTTTATTGGGTTTTTTTTTTTTTTTTTTTTTTGGGGGGGGGGGTTCAATTTGAAAGTAGTCATAATATTAAGACTAATTAAGCAATAGGTGAACTTTGTTTGGAAAAATAATAATATCGTTATGATAATCATCATACATGAATACTCTTCAGGGGGAAAACTGATAGTTTTTGGATATTATAGTTCTTTAAACAGACTATTTCTATTTGTTCATTTGGATACATATTTCTAATTGTGGGTGGGGCTACTCAGATTAATCGGTAGATATTTATATTTTATATTCTCAAGAAGGAAGACCACTGTTAAATAGTAAATACCGAAAAACTTCAGCTTTGAAGTAGTTCTGTGTATCTTCTAGGGTTTATCAATATCTTTGATACTTGTTATAAAAAAGAACAAGCACTGCAGATGATCGATTGCTTCAAAAGTTTTCAACAAGTGGATTTGTCTGGTCTAAAACCAGAAACCGTCTTAAAGCCTAAAGTGACAAGGTTGACCATTTTGATTCATTTAATATATTTTTTTAGATAACTCAATATTCGAACAATATTCAATTGTTAAGATCATTGGTTTAAGTCTTAGGAAAAAAATAAATGTGAATACAGTTGATAGAAGACCTTATTTCTTGAAAACTTCATTATAAGAGTGAAGAAAAGGCAATAATTAGAAAAATTAATAAAGAGAAAAAGCCCACCTACAGATGGGGTTTATTAAGTGTGTTTTATTGTTTTTTTTTGTGTGGTTTTTTTTTGGCCGTGTTTTTTTTATGCCAACCTTGGATGAATATTTAGAAAATTTCTTGAAAATACTCCGCTTTTTTTACCTGCAATCTTTTTTCCTTATTTAGTTTTACACCATCGCAATTAAAGTTTTTACAGATTTATCTATTCTGAATAGAAAATTTACAAAAATTTTAATGATCAAAATTTGTTAAAAAACAACTATTTTAATTTTGACCATTCATAAACTCAGCTGTAATGTCGTTATTGAATAAAAACAAACCAACAAACCTATATCTATTCTATATATTCTATGTAATTAAAAACATAGTGCATTAAATAAGTTGAGAATATAGTTATCATTATAACTAGCTGATGGACCCAACGTTGCCCGTGGAAAAAAAAATTTTATAAAAAAAGTTCTGAAAAAAAATTCTTGAAAAAAAACATTCATTCAATTTTTTAAAGCCCAAACCACGGCCACCCATGAGTGTCCACAAAAAATTCAGCCCAATCGGTCCAGCCGTTTGGCCGGCTAGACGCAACATATATACGAATGTCTTGTTTTATTATATAGATATAAATTTATTCTGTACAATGAACAGTGATATTGTACATTGAACTTATTAATTATTTGATGTTTAGGCTCGAATTAGTGATTTCCAGACTCGTAAAGCTGATATGGAACGCATGCATCGACTTCTTAGTCCTATCCTAACAACTCAGCATAGACAGAAAATATACTCAAAACTATATTTATGATCAAGTTTGGCAATTAAGAAGATAAACTAGAAAAAAAATACTACTGATAAAATTCAGCTAAACTGTAATTCGTCTCGACAGCATTCTTTCATCCCCGATGCTGAAATGTACAATAGATGCAGGACACGTAGTTGTACAGCTCATGCATGTTACGTACAGTACATGAACCAGTGCAGTTTTCAATGTACAATTACCCTCAGTCCTCACCACTACTAGTCATTGGATTATATTTTAGTATATATGATATGATATCAGCATCAAACTATAGGTTATATTGGATTATATTTTAGTATATATGATATGATATCAGCATCAAACTATAGGTTATATTATTTCAATGCTTCACGGACAGTGTTCACTAAATAAGTTCGCGCACATATTTTTATCCAAAATCTTTAACACTAACTTGAACCAGATTTAAGATTGACGAGAAGAAGCTGAACTGCTTCTCTTGTTTAGTGTGATTCAACTAAGTCCTCGTAGTTCCAACAACTTCACATCATGAAGTCTGGTTCATGAACAATTAATATTATTTAATGTGTACATTTATCATTCATTAAAGCTCAGAGTATTTATTTATATTATAAGGGGATTTATATAGCTTGGCGATTAAATTATTTTTAATATTGTTGAACTCCAGTGTGATCACAAATATTGTCAGAAAAGTCAAATATTTTTTTATTTTGTCACGTGTTATATTTCCAATATAGTTAAGTACGAGGTCGACTTAAGTCACTTCTGGTACAGTTCTTAATGATCATAATTGCTTCCCAAGAACTCTGAAAACTTGTTTCAAATCCCACGTTTGTTGGTAATTCCTGTATCTATTAATTATAATTTATAATGCACAAAATGCTTGTCAATATATTTAAAAACTATTTATTATTTCTGATATATGATTATGGTTTGAGATTATTTTATGATTTATCAAAAATATACTAGTTAAGAATGGTACCTTGCTATGTTAAAAAATATGATGCAGGGGTCCATATAATTCCATCCAATACGATCTCAAATGATGCTTGATTGATAACCGTGGCAGAAATTGTTTTGTAGACAAGAGGAAGTACGATGTAAAGTTCTAGAAAAAATTTAACGTCAGAATGTTACTGCTTTGGAGTATTCATGTTCATTTTTCTGTATATCTTAATTTATCTCTTATATTTATATTTACATCTTGAACACCCAAAATGCAGTACACTTGGCTGAAGTGTAGTACAGGCACACAAAAAAACCTTGCGAAAGTTTACAATGACACATTAAGTGTATAATTAACCCCAATATGTACTTTTATGCTCGATTCTATTGGGCTCAGAAATGGAATTATATGGACCCCTAAATTTTTTCTTAAAATCCCAAACCTCTCCCATTTAAAATATTTGTTTCGCAGAATGGATGATGATTGTTCAGGGGTTTTAGCAAAAAAATTTTAAATTAATTTCTTTTTTGTTTGATTGCGATGGGGTGGTGATTTTTTAAGTTGTATACCCCTGTGGTGTTAATAAGTTATCTAATTTTAAACATGTAAAGCAAATTGTTCGGTAGTCCCCGAAAACAAATGTTAACGTAGATAACATCCGTGAACCAATTTTTAAGTTTAAATTATTGCAAATTCATCAGAAATGCCTTTAAATCATTTTACAGTTACTTATAAACTGACTGTTATTGCAATTTCAAGTGACTCGTACAAGGATGGCAATGTCTGATGCACAAGGGGTTTCCTTGAAATCCTTTTCTGATCAAGTATAAATTAGAAACAAATGTTTAAATTTGAAGTTCTGATTATTTTCAATTATGCTGACAGTCCCTTAACTGTAATATTATCTGTTTAAGAAGTTTCTCAGAAGTAAGTAATAACGTCAAGAAAAGAAATATGCTATAAAAGGAACATGATGATATGACGTACTGTTAAAGGGACATGATAGGACGTCAAGTTAAAGGGAGTGACCGGCTATGTAAGGTAGTTGAACTGAGTATGCAGTGTTTTGGAAAGCCTCTTTAGGATTCATTTGAGACATATAAAACTTTTGAAAGATCTGTAAATCCTAAGTTTGAGCGCAAATTTGACGTTCAAAACTCCTACTTGGGGGGTGGATACGTTTTCATAGTCGGTTTTTTATATTACTAAATAACAACGACGAAAAATAAAGTAAAAAATCATACAGTAATCTAAATAGATGGTTGGGAACATATTTCTCAAAAGAAATTAGTCAATAAATCAATGCTAGAATCTATTATTTTGTTTTCATTATTATATTGAATTTCTTATTTTCTTTGAATTTATTCGCAGATTTCTTAAAATTCTTCAAATGTCGTCTTTTCAATAATAATTCAAGAAAATCTGCGAAAATCTTTGTGAATAATGAGAAAATAGAAACTAATCATTAGACAAGATTACTTATTTTCGATGATAAGATTAATTTTTATTTTCTGAACCGGTTCTGAAACAACTAATTAATTTACTGTAGAGTTTTGTTTATATTTTTTGTCGTCGTTATTTAAAAATTGATAAAAAAAACTAATTCTGAAAACGTATCCATCCTCAAAGTAGGAGTTTTGAACGTCGAATTTGCGTTCAAACTCAGGATTTACAGATCTTTTACAAGTTTAATATGTCTCAAATGAATCCGAAAGACGTTTTCCACAACACTGCATACTCAGTTTAACTACCTTACATAGCCGGTCACTCCCTTTAAAGGGACGTAATGATAGCACGTCAATTTAAAGGGACTCGATGATAAAACGTCAAGTTAAAGGGACATGATGATAGGACGTCAAGTTAAAGGGACGTGTTGATAGGACGTTAAATTAAAGGGACGGGATGATAGAACGTCAAGTTAAAGGGACATGATGATAAGACGTTAAGTTAAAGGGACATGATGATATGACGTCAAGTTAAAGGGACATCATGATAGGATGTCAAGTTAAAGGAACATGATGATATGACGTTAAGTTAAAGGGGCATGATAATAAGACGTTAAGTTAAAGGGACGTGATGATATGACGTCAAGTTAAAGGAACATGATGATATGACGTCAAGTTAAAGGGACATGATGATAAGACGTCAAGTTAAAGGGACATGATGATAGGACGTCAAGTTAAAGGGACGTGATGATAGGACGTCAAGTTAAAGGGACGTGATGATAGGACGTCATGTTAAAGGGACATGATGATAAAACGTCAAGTTAAAGAAACATGACGATTAGACACCAAGTTAAAGGGACATAGATAGGACGTCAAGTTAAAGGTACATGACGATAAGACGTCAAGTTAAAAGGATATGATAAGACGTCAAGTTAACGGGACATGATGATGGGACGTTAAGTTAAAGGGACATGATGATAGGACGTCAAGTTAAAGGGACATGATGATAAGACGTCAAATTAAAGGGACATGATGATAGGACGTCAAGTTAAAGTGACGTGATGATAGGACGTCAAGTTAAAGTGACATGATGATAAAACGTGAAGTTAAAGGGACATGATAGGACGTCAAGTTAAAAGAACATGATGATAGGACGTCAAGTTAAAGGCACATGATGATAGGACCTCAAGTCAAAGGGACATGATGATAAGACGTCAAGTTAAAGGGACATGATGATAGGACGTCAAGTTAAAGGGACGTGATGATAGGACGTCAAGTTAAAGGGACATGATGATAAGACGTCAAGTTAAAGGGACATGATGATAGGACGTCAAGTTGAAGAAACATGATAGGACGTCAAGTTAAAGGGACATGATGATAGGACGTCAAGTTGAAGAAACATGATGATTAAACGTGAAGTTAAAGGGACATGAAAGGACGTCAAGTTAAAGTGACATGATGATAGGACGTCAAGTTAAAGTGACATGATGATAAAACGTCAAGTTAAAGGGACATGATGATAGAACGTCAAGTTAAAAGAACATGGTGATAAGACGTCAAGTTAAAGGAACATGATAAGACGTCAAGTTAAAGGAACATGATTATAGGACGTCAAGTTAAAAAGACATGACTATAAAAAGAAAAATTGGCTTGATTTGTAGGTAATATGCGCACAAAGAAATATTGCAAAAACTAAATGCACATTTTAACTTCTCCCATGGTCAGCTTTAGTGCTAGCACTTTCAAAACGTTAGTAAATTATCTTAAAGTAATGATAAACAAATTCACCATTTCGATCTGTATATATATCGTTGAGGGTTTTTAAATGAGAAGCAAAGAAAAATTTATTTTTCCTACTTTTAGCCTTAAAAACCCAAAGGAATTGAGTCTTTGTCACAAACTCTTAATTTATAATCCCTATTTCTTTGGAACCCAATGTCGTAAATCTTTGATATTTCAAACTTATATTATTTGATCTAACAGAATTCATAGTTTGAAATATCTAAGGTCTACGACATTGGAATCCAAAGATATAGGGTTTAGAAAAGCAGAGTTTGTGGCAAAGACTCAATTCCTTTGTCACAATTATGGGAAGATTTTGTAGAAAAGAGTAGAAACCCAGGAGGAACATTTAATTAACAAATTATCCAATCCCTTCCTCATTATTGTAAGAAAATTCATAGATGTTATGAAAGCTCTATCTCTAAATGAGAGAAACTGAAACGTGCTTTTTGCTTATATATAAAGCTATATAACCTACAAATCAAGCCAATTTTTGCTTATATATAAAGCTATATAACCTACAAATCAAGCCAATTTTTGCTTTTGCATTTAATTTTCTTGGATGTGCATGTTAGATTTAGTTTAGATTTAGATTGAACGGATTTTTCGTAAAATCAAAAAGACCTAATATTTGAGTAGCGCGTAATCGCTAATAAATGAAAGTAATTTTACCATGTAGAAGTTCTTGCGACTACATTCTGGGGTTTAGTAGTGTCGAGAAAGTGCAATTTGATAGTTTTTATTCACTTCTTTAATGCAATAGCTTTCTGCAGCCAATCAGATAAACAACCAAACCAACAAATTGTATAAGAACAATATTTTTAAGATTTTTTATTAAATGATTAAATTTACAAATATAGAACCATCACCAAGTATATATTTTTAGATAAAAAGAAAAATACTCAACATAATACAACTAAAAATAAGTTGAGCTTCCTTCACCAGTTTCATAGTTATATATATGCATTAATATTCATATATATATATATATATATATCTTTTTAGAAAACAACGAATCTCATAATGTAGAAAATGCCATCTTGATTTTTTCACAATGCTTCTGTATAGTTTAAGCCCTGCTGGATACTTGTGTACTACATCTCTTCTCTATTGTGATTCCTGCGGCTTCAACTGATTAATGATCTGAACCAGGGTTTGTTTAGAGGATCTAGCGTTCAAATCTTGAGGTAAGAAGCACCATTCCTTGATCACTGGTTTGGCAACCTTTCTTGGATTGATTTTAGCATCCACACAGATCTCCTTAGGAACTTGGATACAGTTAGGCTGTTGGACCAGGCGGGGAACTAGAACTGTTTCCAGCTTGCATGATTCTCTAGGTTCCAGATTACACGCTTCATCTGGGATATTCTGAACAAAACTCCTTTTTTCTTCTCGACAAGTTCGCTCACTCTTGACAAACTGACAGTTGGATGGGGCGCACACTTTCCTTGGATTCTTTCTACAAGAAGTTTCAGGAGAAGTTTTCTTAACAACTTTCCTCTCTAGTCTGCACTTCTGAACTGGCCATTCTTCACAATTGTTTCCATTGAAATCTTGATTGTTTTCAACTCTTGCCAAAGCAGATCTATTTCTTCCAGAGCTGATCCCTTGGTTGGAAATATTTACTAGAACTCCATTGCATTTTCGTTCGATCACCATTTCACAGAAAGGTTCATCCTGCTCAGCTTCGTGTTCCTTGTGTCTGGTCTCACATGTTGTTTCATAATGTGTTTGACAAACCACTTCTCCGACAATTTTATCATTACAGATTTTCTTAAGGGGTTCATCACATATTTCTACATTTTCCTCAAAAGTTGTAGGCTTGTATGTAATCTGGCAGTTTTTCTGGAAGCTTGTCTCGCACTTTTCTTCCTGGGTTGGTACATAGTCCGTGATGAATGTTGTGTGACACTTTTCTGCAAATGAATGTGTGCACTTTTCAGTTGAATCATAAACAGTTTCTACCACAAGCATTACTTTCTTCATGCATTTTAACTCATTTTCATTTGTTGCTATTCCACCACTACCGTTAAGCCCTTCAACAACAGATGATTCATTGTCTATGGTTCCATCTACAACAGGTATACCAGTTTCTGATAATTCATTGCCTATGGTTCCATCTATGGTTATTCCAGATTCTAATGATTCATTGCCTAAGGTTCCATCAAGGGTTGTTCCAGTTTCTGATAACTCATTGCCTATTGTTCCATCTACAGTTATACCTGCTTCTGATAATGCATTGCTTATGGTTCCATCAACAGTTAATTCATCTTCTGATAATTCATTGCCTATAGTTCCATCAAAATTTATTCCAGCTTCTGATAATTCATTGCCTATGGTTCCTTCAACAGTTATTCCAGCTTCTGTTGATTGATTGCTTATGGTTCCATCCAAATTTATTCCAGCTTCTGATAAATCATTGCTTATGGTTCCATCAACAGTTATTCCAGCTTCTGATGATTCATTGCCTAAGGTTCCATCAACTATTAATCCAGCTTCTGTTAATTCATTGTCTTCCTTTGGTTTTTCATCTATCAGAATACTTGTCAATCCTTCATTAGAGTAGTCTTCCTTGGAGTTTTCTTTTCCAGGTTTATCGACCAAGGACTGTTCACCCAACACCCCACTAAGTAATCCTTCCTTGGAGCTATCTTCTTTGGAGTTATTGATTAATGGATTATTTAAAGCAGGCCTTTCACCTAACAACCCACTAAGCAATCCTTCTTTAGAGTTATTTTCCTTTGAATCATCTTCATCTGAGTTGGTTTCCTTGGAGTTTTCTCTTTTAGGGGGGTCATCCTTCACTGGATTACCACCTATGGGGCTTTCACTAAAGACTCCACTTAACAATCCTTCCTTGGAATTGTCTCCCTTTGACTCATCTTTCTTCGGTTTGTCTCCTTTCGGTCTTTCACTGAAAATTCCGCCCAGCAATCCTTCATTTGAGTTATTCTCCTTTGATGAATCTTCTCCGGAGTCGTTTTCCTTGGACTTATTTTCTCCGGATTCCTCTTCCTTGGATTCTTTTTCCTTGGATTTGTCCTCCTTAGAAGTATTTTCCTCAGAACTATCTTCCTTGGATCCATCTTTCTTGGGTTTGTCTCCTTTAGGTTTTTCACCAAAAATTCCGCCCAACAATCCTTCCTTTGAGATATTCTCCAGTGATGTATCTTCTCTGGATTCATCTTCCTTGGACTTATCTTCTCCGGATTCTTCTTCCTTGGATTCTTTTTCCTTGGATTTGTCCTCCTTAGAAGTGTTTTCCTTAGAACTATCTTCCTTGGATCCATCTTTCTTGGGTTTGTCTCCTTTAGGTCTTTCTCCAAAAATTTCCCCCAACAATCCTTCCTTTGAGATATTCTCCAGTGATGTATGTTCTCTGGAATCATCTTCCTTGGATTTATCATACTTGGAGCTATTTTCCTTCGATTTATCCTCCTTGGACTTATCCTCCTCAGAGCCACCCTCCTTGGGTTTGTCTTCCTTAGAATTGTTTTCCTTGGAGTTATCTTCCTTGGATCCATCTTTCTTGGGCTTGTCTCCTTTGGGCCTTTCACCAAATATTCCACCCAACAATCCATCATTGGACTTATCTTCTTCAGATTCGTTTTCTTTGGAATTGTCTTCTTTGGAAATATTTTCCTTTAATTTATCTTCCTTGGCATTATCTTCTTTACCTTTATTGGGTCTATTACCAAGCAATCCTGAGAGACCAAATTTTTCATTGCCAACTGAAAATGTTTGCGTGCTAGGCTGAGCTAATTCAAACTTGTGTCCGAACTGGTCGGTGAAAACACCATTTTTCTGAGTAAGAACAATTTGCTGGTTAATTTCAGGGGACTGGTCTTCAGAATATGAAGTCTGTAGAAGAGGATTATAATACAGCTGCTGGAGTTGTTGATAGGATGGTGTCAGAAATCTCTGTCTGGATGCAAATCCATTGTTAAGGGCTTTCAGGGAAAAATTGTTTTCTCCATTTCCATAGAAAAATGAGGGAAATGGAGCATTGTCTGGATACTGTTTCCCTTTTCTTTCTTCCCAATCTTTAAAACTTTTGATCAAAGCCGTTATTTTCTCTTCTTGTAAGTCTTCCATAGGTTGTTCTCTGAATATATTTGTTTTATCGGTGCTATCCTCAGAGGTTTCTGAACCTAGATAAGATTCTGACAACTTCGAACTTTTTCCCTCATTTTTAAAATCAGAAGCAGTTTCAGTGTTGAATATACGTAGAGGAGCAGCAGTACTAGCTAGACTAACAGGGTCTGCAATATTGGTAAGAATTACTGATGATTCAGTATCAGATGGAATCAGCGGAGTAGCAGTATTGAAAACAGAAGCTTCTGAACTAAAATCAGAGGACTGAATTCCTTTGAAGCTTCTGTTGTTGCGGCCTGTCTTGGTAAGGATGTTCTGTTGTGAGTCTGGACTAATCAACTGAAACGGAACAGCTGCTGTTGACAGGGTATTGTGGAGAAGAAACAAGATAAAGAACAACAGCAAGTTTAAATTCATTTTGATCTTCAGCTCCACGCAGCTATCTCAGTTAATCAAGGATCTTCATCAAAACAGTCAAGTTATTACTGTGCTTTTACTTTTAAGCATGAAACAAAACACTAATTTCTTTCTGCATGTTGATTCAAAATTAGAGCAAATTAGGATAAGGGGCTAGTAAAAAAACCTTCTTCAGAGAGATCTTTTAAATACTCTATTTGTTTTGGTTTTTATACGTCCTTATTATGAAATATCCAAAATTCATTGTTTACAGGTGTTAAATTACTATTTAAAAACAATTTTGGAACTTCATAATTATCCAAAGGCCCTTTGATAAACTTTGGCTGTTGTGATAGTTTGTCAATTATGTAAAAAGTTTATGTATTATCACATTTGAGTATGGAATCGGATAGAAATTTGAAAAAAGATATGATCTAAATATAAACAATACATACCGAGTTTTAACGGATGTTTTAAACAGTATATTTTAGATTAATTTTTGGAAAGATGCTCATTTTTTTCGGATCTTTTTTAAAAACTAACATAACTTCCCAACCCAAATATATTACAATTTGCCTTCAAAAATCCTAAATAAAAAATAGATGAATAAAAAGATTGTTTTCCTAAGCGTAGAAGAAGAAGGGTATTGTTAGATCTTGAACTGGAGAAACTCTCCATAGAACTGACGTTGAAATCTCTGGGTCTGATATTTAAAGAGTTTTCAATCCCGTCTCCAGAAAGTACAAAATCCAGATATTCAACCCTGTCACACGAAGCAACATTTTGCATTTCTTATTTTATCTGATCCATGTTTCATAAACGACTTTTTCAATTGGGAAACTCTTAATTACTCTAATTGAAAAATGAATCATAACTAGATTTCTATAAACCATTTTAACTTTTCATTTATCAATTCATTAAAATTATAAAACAAATTTCGCAAATCTTCAAACTTTTTTTTCGATTCCTACTTTTTAAATCCTTAACGGCCATATACCAACCCTGTCTCTACGGGGGTCATGTAAGAAGGTTCCACAGAGAGCAGGCCCAATAAGTTAGGCTGTTTTCGTCTTCATCTATCTTAAGATTTGTCCAATAATCTGGAAAAATCAATTATATAATTTGTAATTAGCCTCGTCAGATGAAATCAGATTTATGACCAAAGAAAAAGTATCGGTTTCATCGTAATCTAATCTAATTAGCTTTTAATAAATTGTCACACCTTTCATGGAATCAATCTTATTTACATAATATCATATGTAAACGGTGTTTTAAAAAATCCAAACACTTCACACGTTTTTGCTTAACTTTTACCAGATCTTAAAGAAATTAATATCACAATGTCTCAAGAATGTTTGGACTACGTTAAAAAAATTATCTGATTTAGAACTGCAGACAAGCCTACGTGCAAAAAACATTTGTAAAGCTAAGAATGGTCCCAAACTGGCTTTAAAATGACAATAATCTGTTTAAAAGTATTCAATATAACCTTAAAACTCTAAATAGCTTTGTTTAGTTACCAGATTACAAGTTCAGGGTGGAGGTATTTTGGCCTTATACATATTAGTAGGATACCGTAACCAACCATTGTTTATAGGAACGGAGGCGTGAAGCGCCCTATATTATATTTATAAAAATAAAACCGGGGTTTCTTTGATCCAAGGCGTTTTAAAGACTTTAAGTCTCGATCTCTGTAAGTAACCCTGTATCTAATTAACAATCCTAAACTGATAATTTTATCATTGCCGCATACCATCCGTTTTATCTATAATACTGAGCTTAAAGAATTCAGACTTGCGATGATAAAAGTACGACTATATAACCATCTCTAATCTCCACGCTAAAGCTAAATAAATTCATTCAAAGATCTAAACATAATATTAATAATTTTTGGGGTATTCAAAACCCAAAAATCTGCAAAGACTGTTAATATTCTTGGTTCTTACGATAAAAAATGATAATTTAATGAGATTAATAATTAGGTCGTCATTTCGAGAGTTTAGGTTACGAGCGAAAATAAATCAATTTAATCCAAATTATAAATTATATTGGAAAATCATTGAGATTATTTGAATATTCTAGATTTACTTATGATCACAGGTTCTCAGTTTACTTGATTTGGGAATAGATATTAGATGTGTGTCCATCATCAGGGGGTGGCAATCTACGTTTGATTAGATATAGATTTATCAAGATAATGCAAAGAAAGTTATTTCAGAGGTGTACGAATCTTTTGTACTGCAGTGTACTGTCTCTGGGCGGTAATGTAAACACAAGACGGATGTCACGCAATTAACTTTCCTTGCATTATAACCTTGGATTGTATGGTAATATTTGAGACATCGGATGTGGCTAGTTGGCAGCAAGGCACTAATGCAAGGAAAAATAATTGTGGTCGTGTATACTCTGCGTACATATTGAAACCAGTTCTATCTGGGCGGAATTTGTAAACAAGAATAAATGCATTAGTGTTCGTCTACTATCCGAGGAAGATAAAAGCATTAAATATTGATAATTTTGAAAATTCACATAATAGTTTCCTATGACCAGAATATTTCATTGATTTTTTGGGGGGAAAATTGATTCCATGTCAGGCTGTGACATACGTCTTTAGTTTACCTTTCCGCCCAAAGACAGTACACTGCAGTACAAAAAATGCGCACACCTCTGAAATAACTTTCCTTGCATTAGTACCTTGGTTGGCAGTAACTAAAGAGTACGTTAAATCCAACATGGATGTTTACAACAAACCTTTGAACTGCACTACAGTATGGTATCAGATATTCCAAAACCCATTGCTAAATTTGAGGTCTACATATAAACGGTATTCCATGACCTATTAAAAAGTATTATTGGAGCCAAGGTTATAATGCAAGGAAAGTTAATTGCAGTTGTGTATTCTCTGCGTATACACACATTGAACCCAGTTCTCTCTGGGCGGAATTTGTAAACAAGAATAGATGCATCAGTGTTCGTTTAGTATCAGAGGAGGTTGAAAGCATTAAATTTTGATAATTTTGATAATTCACATAATAGTTTCCTATGACCACAATATTTCATTGATTTTTTATGCGAAATAAGGATCTCATGTCAGGCTTTGACACAGTATGTCAGTATGTCAGTAGCTAGTACCAAAGCTAAATTGCCATTTTCAATTTTAACTGTAACCCTCCGGTATGGTGAAGACTACATGAGCCATCTATATTCTATTTTATCAGGGTTATCTGTTTGAATCCAATAAACGTAAAAACGACTAAACTTACATGGTCTAATTTTTGTTGTGGTAACCATAGATAAATAAATAAACATAGATAGCTTGTGTACGCAAAATCACCTAGAATTGTACAGTCCGCGAACTCATACTTCTAGGGGTCAAAGTGTACTTCAATGATAAGAGGGGCGGTTTGGTGTTTTAATGGATTTCATAATAGAGTGTGTGTAAGATAACTCCGGGAATGGAACTATTTGAACAACAATATTTCACTGAGCATTATATCATATTGACGAGAACTGAAGAAGGACATGAGAAGGACTAAACTAACTCTCTCTACAGAACTATGTACTCCACAAGTACTCAATGACATAAGAACAGCCAATGTTCACAACCGACCTAGGTAATCTATATAATAGGAATATCTTTAAAACATCTCTGTACATTTATACCTTTCAAGATGAAAAATGTCGTCTTATGCGCAATCTATCTTTATCTATGGTGGTAACTCATCACCCCAGAGAAGAGATGGTGAGAGAAATCCGTCTGAAAACATTAAAATCTGATATACCCAGAAAGGTGATTCAAAGGTTGAAAATGCTGTCCAAAGTTTCAAAAAAAGTATTGTTTGGTTTGGGCTACAAAAGAGTAAAAGTGAGATGATGAGGTAACATCAAGGCGTTGCAACACTTAAAAATCAATCCAGGCTGAAACTTTTCAAACAGATCGGATCTTTGTGCCCCCATCCTTAGATTACAAAATGTTCGTCTTTTTGTAATCCGTTGAGAACTGCTTATAAAAGTTAGAGTATTTCTATAAAGAATTACGAAACCTGTTTTGAATTTAGGGAATTTGATTCTTTAATGTTTAAAAAACGTGAACTTAAATTCAAATTGATAAAATTTTAATCTTATCAGGGATTTTCTTCAACGAAACTGCAGGCTCTAGATTCATAGTACAAATCCATCAATACACATAAAGTAGTAATATCTGTTTGTTTGTTTGTTTTGCTGTCAGAGTATAACAGTGAGCCCCTTGGTTTATCCGCCTCAAAGTTTAATTGGAAAACGCAGTAGAACCAGAGGAATGTTCTATACTTGGGTTTAGAATTGTTTGATTTTTATTGTGAAAACTACAGGCAACGCTGGGTTCCCAAACTAAATCTGCGTTAATATGCAGATACATTTGAACGTTTAAGTATTTATTCTCATTTCTACCCTTCTCTACACTCTTTCTATTTAAATGCTTCCTGAAAAGAATTCCTGCACAACACGGAAATTTAGAGAAGGTCAAAGAGAATAGAATATATATTAGAGTGGAATTTACTCGAAAAAAGTGTAAAACGGCCATTTTGTTGGACTGTTTCCATACTGCAGGTGTACTTTGTATATTTGTGTTATTTAACCTTTTGGGCCCTAGAACATCATTTTATAGAAAATCTAAAATTAATGCTAAAAGAAAACCAAATTATGAAATAGCTGGTTTCATAATTGAGCAATGATCATTTCACACAGGCTCTATGCCTTTCACTTTACTAACGATGATTTTCCGTTATCACTATAAATCAAATGATATTTTTTTTATTCACCTAATTCATTTTATAAAGTTTATTTAAAAGCTTTAAAAAGTTCGAAATTGAAATGGATAATCTAGGGAACATGCTGTATTAATGTACTCTACTGCATATAATTTGTCATTTACATGATTTTTACACTTTGAACTCCCTTTCAGGCTGAAAGGGACTGACAAAATTCATACCGAGGGATTGTCTAAATTCCACTCTAATATATATTCTAGTCTCTTTGGATAAACGTATGCTTCCTGTACATATTTTCTTTATATATTACCCCCTCCTTTTGTTAAAGTGTGTCCAACTATTATCCTGTTTTTTTAGCTTCAGATCTTCCTAAAATTACTAAATCTGCTAAATTACTAATTATATTACCAAATTACTAATTACATATGGATTAAGTAAGAAAATTCTGATGATAAAAGCTTGATCGCAAGCTGGTCAAAGTGCCATATTTTTAAAATCACAGCTGCCATAGCAAACCATATGAACTGAGGGATCAAAAAAGCTCCGTAAATTATCCGGCTTCTATATCTATATATAAATTTGGCTTGTATGGGTGGGCATTTGTTTGTTTGCATCCAATAAACGTCAAAACGGCTGAACCGATCGGGCCCAAATTTATTGTGGGGCCTCAGGTGACCCCAGGGAAGGTTTGTGGATGATCGAATTTTCAAAACTTTGCCACTAACAACATTCGATTTTGGAAAATTAATAAAATAAAAGTAGTAATCGAGTAAAGATAGAGTTGAGGAGAACTATAAATTGATTGAAAAAGCCTCAAAATTGGAATTAATATTCTCAAAGGTTACACTTCGTCCTGTAAAGATAAAAAATATTATCCAACAAAAAGCGTATTGATGCTATAGATCAAGAATGTAAGGCAATGAAAGTTAATTGCGGTTGCGTATACTCTGCGTACATATTGAAACCAGTTCTCTCTGGGCAGAAATAGTAAACAAGAATAGATGCCTCAGTGTTCGTTTAGTATCCGAGGAGGTTAAAAACATTAAATTTTGATAATTTCGATAATTCACATAATAGTTTCCTATGACTAGAATATTTCATTGATTATTTTATGTAAAAGATGGATCCCATGTTAGGCTTCGACATCCGTCTTGTGTTTACATTACCGCCCAGAGACAGTACACTGCAGTACAAAAGATGCGTACACTGCTGAAATAACTTTCCTTGCATTACATCCTTGATATAGATAGAGATTAAACTAGTAGAAATAGAATTCTGATCCTGATTCAGTCTATACCCCCTTTCATTTTCCGGGAACGCTTACTTTAGTGCCATAAAAGAATAAAAATTTAAAATTTGAAAATCTTTGAAACTAAATCCTTTTCCTCTTTAATGCGTCACCGTCACGAAAATCGCGATAAAATAATATAAAAAAAATCTTGAATTGAAATGAATTGAAAACGAGACAGTTGAGAGATGACTTAAAGATCGTCTTTCTCCTTAAGATATATTAAAACCAGAAATCGATGGAATAGTAAGACGACATGATAACAATTCTGAAGTGTCTTTGATGTTTTTAAAAAGCCAATAGTTTTATTAGACATTTATTAAATCACTAATTTAGTTAAATTGGTCTGCATGTTCATACTGCATAATTATTAATTGCTATGTCTCATGCTCATTGTTTGTACTTCCTGATGTCAAACTTGTTTCTAAAAGTCGTCGTCCTATTTCAGATTTTTCTGGTTATTACTGTAGCTTTAAAAGCTATCTAAGAAGTAATGACCAAATTAGATGATGTGTAGTGGGACAACCCTTCATGTAAGGAAAAGTATAAAAGAAATATTTTTGTATAATACAAATCTTCATCACGATAAAACAAGATGGGCACACTCTCACATAATAATCGTGTAGTATTTTTCCAATTACACCATTTAAACATAAACTAGAAACAAGCCTGTTGTATTTTGAAATGTATATGCCCAGGTACGTATGCAAAAATGTATAAGTAAGTTGGTCGAGGTTGTCTAAAAATTGTATGACTAACTTCCAGAGTTTTCTGTAATTCAGTGTCATTTGCCGGCCATCACTATAATTTCATCCCTTAATGACTTTCCGTTTTTGAATTATATCAAAAATATGCATTTAGTAAAGTGCAGCAATTAAAGTTTTGTTTTGTAAAGATTAAATATTTGATTTATACTGATTAAAGAATTTGTACTATCTTCAGACTAAAAGTAGATGCAGCAAAAACAATTTAAATTTTAAAAGTCAAGAATGCACCCATGCAGTATTCTTAATATAATCTCAGATTATATGGGAGAATGATTTATCTTTGAAAAATCTTAATTACTATACAGCAGGACACCAATAATATAATTTTACTTTATTACTAGACTAGGCGGAAATCTTTTCAAAATTATTCTTGATAAAATCAGAATTCTATTTCATTTCTCCATTTTTATATTTCAATCACTCCATCAGATATTTAGGTATTTTTATGAATTTGTATTACTTTATCAAAGAAAAACGGGATTAATTTTAAACAATCAAGAATACTTTACTGCTGCAATCAGAAAATCTACAAAGACTTCTAGATAGTAACTACTTCTAGAGAGTAACTACTTCTAGACTACTTCTAGAGAGTAACTACTTCTAGAGAGTAACTACTTCTAGAGAGTAACTACTTCTAGATAGTAACTACTTCTAGATAGTAACTACTTCTAGATAGTAACTACTTCTAGAGAGTAACTACTTCTAGATAGTAACTACTTCAATTGTTAAGGAAATTAGCAACTTCACGTATCTCTATCCTAATTGTAACCAACTGAGCTGAACATCTTAATTACTCAGAACTTGACAAAAATCAGAAACTTTAAACTTTAAACAAGTAGGCCTAAATTTATGTCCGATGTATATACTATTATGTTAAAAACTTTATTTGATCGAAAATGAATGAGATATCAAAGTTTTTCTCTTTAAAAACATATAATTTTTAAATATACCGGATTTCTTTTGTAGTGACTTGCTGATCTCTATTTCGAAAAAAAATAGTGAAATAATGCAGATTCCTGGCTTTAAACCAAAACTGTGCAAAACAAATAAAAGATAAATTTTGGAAAAAAAAACAAATTTGATGCAAAATACTTGATATTTCAAGTCAAATACATGATTCACCAGCATAGATAAATAAATAAACATAGATAGCTTGTGTACGCAAAATCACCAAGAATTGTACAGTCCGCGAACTCATACTTCTAGGGGTCAAAGTTTACTTCAATGATAAGCGGGGTGGTTTGGTGTTTTAATGGATTTCATAATAGAGTGTAAAATAACTTCGGGAATGGAACTATTTGAAAAACAATATTTCACTGAGCAATATATCATATTGATGAGAACTGAAGAAGGACATGAGAAGGACTAAACTAACTTAAATTTCTCTCTACAGAACTCATGTACACCACAGGTACTCAATGACATAAGAACAGCCAATGTTCACAACCGACCTAGTTAATCTATATAATAGGAATATCTTTAAAACATCTCTGTACATTTATATCTTTCAAGATGAAAAATGTCGTCTTATGCGCAATCTATCTTTATCTATGTTCACCAGTCCTTAAGTTTTCTGTAAAACAATTAAATGAAAAATTTGAATTCTAAAATGGAAAAAATTAGTTAGTGTTAGCTCAGAGTTAACTTATAAAACTGTATTTTATTCTTTATCTCAGCCCCAATTTCAACCAAAATGACTCCAGTTAATATCTAACAAAATATTGGATTAAATTTCTAAATTATATTTTCTCGAAATATCCCTCTCTCTCTCACTCATATTTTAGGTTTTTAACATCTATAAAAGACAGAGAAATCTTTTATATTTGTCAATTTGGCCAGAACCTTACTCAGGTAAACACTAGGACACTTCCATTCTTTATCCAGACCCATATGGGGACATATATTATGCTTTTATACTTAGACCTTGGGACATATTATGCTTTTATGCTTAGACCTGGGGGCATATATTATGCTTTGATACTTAGACCTTGGGACATATATTATGCGTTTATACTTAGACCTGGGGACATATATTATGCTTTTATACTTAGACATTGGGACATATATTATGCTTTTATACTTAGACCTGGGGACATATTATACTTTTATACTTAGACCTGGGGACAAATCATATTTTTATACTTAGACCTGGGGACATATCATACTTTTATACTTATACCTGGGGACATATCATACTTTTATACTTAGATATATATAAAATGGGCTTTATCTTTAAGTTTTGAGATGAAGATTGTGTTTCTGCTGATATTATTAATCTTCAATCTATCCTCGGCTCAAATTAAGACAAGTTCAGGTTATAACTTATATGTACTTGATACACGTGGTTTAATTTAGAATTTACACAGACGGATCAACTCATATTCATATTTACATAATAACTCTCCTTTCAACTCAAACACGAAACAAACGTGGGAGTTTAATGCTGATAAGCTGTATTGGATTAGTTTATGATTTGAAGCTTATAAAAAGGTTTTTTTTAAATAGTTGTTAATTATGATAGGTTTTGGGAACATACAACAATTTATTTTACTTTTCTTTATTTTTAATTTCAATTTTTTAAAGGAGGATCTCAAACATAATTAGGACAGACTATAATAAGCTGTTACACTATTGAGACTCGCTTATGAAATCTCACTTTAGGAGGACACACAAATGTAATGCATCGATTCGTCCTTACCAATGAAACCGCATGCAATTTAGGACCTACAGAGTGTCCCAAAAATGACAATTTAAATTTAGATTTACGAATAAATGATGTGAATTATTTCAAAGATCTAAGACGGCATTCAAGTTCTTTTGATACTGGCATGTTTTGTGGGACACCCTGTACCAGAAGTATTGATACATGATTATTCAAACTAAAAATCATAAATGTTACTTTTATACTGACAATTTCAATTTGGTTTAATCCACTTGATTTAGGAGAAGAGATCTTGGAAGTATTTTACCCTCCCTTCAGACCTCAACAGAAACCTCAACAAATAGAACAAAATATTGAAGACGACATTTCCGCACCTCGTTCAGGACTATCAGGTTTGTATAAGAAGTTTAGAAGGAAAATATTATCTTACAGATATGCTAGGACAGGATTCGGGTTACCCAACCAAAAGGATAAAACTGCAGAGACGACTGTATATCTTTCAGTTAGTAAATATTCAAATGACAAGATAAAACCTGTAAGTCGTATATGAAGTCTCATTCTTTGAATATTTTTACATTTTTCATTAAGAGTACTTGATTTAAAAAGACCGCAACAAAGAACAAAAAACAAGGATTGAGAGTTTATAATATTACGAGCTACGATATATATAGTTCTAATTGAAAGAAGTTTAAAATCACACAGTTTAATTTGTTTTTATCTAAATCTGTGCTTAGATTATGTTGACCAACTTCTGCTGAGGAAAGCATTGATGGGATTCAAAGGAAATCAACCAAAATACTTCCCATTCAGGTTTATACAGTGCTACCCATTAAAGTGTGAAAAAGGAAGACGATATTTAATCAATTATTGAATATTTGATTCTGTAGTAAAGTAATTGCTTGAAATGGGTCTGTGTCAACTGCACAATTGTTGTTTTTATTGTTCTATGGACTTTACTGTGACAATCGTCTTCCTTTTACACAGTTTTAAGGATCTCACTCTACCGTTATATAAATACTTCCCATTCAGATTATTCTATTTATAGATTTACTTCCATGTCAGGTTAATATTTTTATAGATGTACTTTTCTATTCAGGTCTTTTATATCCTACTTTACACACAACTTGAAATAAAGATGCTTGACTATAGTTGTCATTTAAATTCATTTGGAACTTTCTGTATATACTATATATATATATATATGGATGTTTATCTGTTTTTAGAAGCTTTCTCTATATACTATATATGGATGTTTATCTGTTTTTAGAAGCTTTCTGTATACACTATATTTACATGTTTATCTGTTTTTAGAAGCTTTCTGTGTATTCTATATATAAATGTTTATCTGTTTTTAGAAGCTTTCTGTATATACTATATTTACATGTTTATCTGTTTTTAGAAGGTTTCTGTATATACTATATATAAATGTTTATCTGTTTTTAGAAGCTTTCCGTATATACTATATTTACATGTTTATCTGTTTTTAGAAGCTTGATGGAGCGTGCCCCACACATGATGCAAAAAAAAGACTACATCATCAGGGAAAAAAATTTCTATTTTAAGCTTAAGATAATTTATTTACATTTGCGGAGAGGAGTTTCTGTATTAAAAATGATAAAACCATATAGCATACACCCCTACCCCACTACAAGAAAATTGTGAATGCATTAATTTTAAAAAATTGGCCTCTTTGAACTATTGCCAAAATTTTGCGTTTTGAAAAATAAACAGGACATCAACGTTTCACGGAAACCTGAAAATCAAATATTTTCATATAAATAGAAATATAAACAATTGTTCACAGTCAGCGACCAGACAGAGATGGGCGTATCAGAATTCTTCGGTCAATCAAACAGTCTGATAGGGACTCTTAAACATTCTGATAGTCAAATAATTCAGTAAGTCTCAAAGTCTAATAGAGACATTTAAACATTCTGATAGTCACATCATTTAGAAGGTCTTAAAGTCTGATAAAGACCATTAAACATTTAGAGAGTCCCACCATTCAGTAGGTCTTCAAGTCTGATAAAGATCATTAAACACTTTGATAGTCACACCATTCAGTAGGTCTTAAAGTCTGACAGAGACTCACATTCTGATAGTCACACTATTGACTATTGAGTAGGTCTTAAAGTCTGATAAAAACTCACATTCTGATAGTCACACCATTCAGTAAGCATTATGTCTAATAGAGACTCTGAAATATTCTGATACTTGATAGTCACGCCAGTAGATAACTTTTAAGTCTTATATAAAACACTATTCTGATAGTTACACCATTAAGTAGGTTTTAAGATCCGATGTATAACACTAATCTTTTAGTCATACCATTAAGTAGGTTTAAGATCTGATATATAACACTATTCTGATAGTCACACCTTTAAGTAGGTTTTAATATCTGATACCATGATGATAACCACACCATTAAGTAGGTTTAAGATCTGATATATAACACTTTTCTGATAGTCATATCATTAAGTAGGTTTTAATATCTGATACCATGATGATAACCACACCATTAAGTAGGTTTAAGATCTGATATATAACACTATTCTGATAGTCACACCATTAAGTAGGTTTTAATATCTGATACCATGATGATAACCACACCATTAAGTAGGTTTTAATATCTGATACCATGATGATAACCACACCATTAAGTAGGTTTAAGATCTGATATATAACACTATTCTGATAGTCACACCATTAAGAAGGTTTTAATATCTATATATGAAACTATTCTGATAGTCAAGTAAGTTTTAAGATCTGATACATAACATTATTCTGATAATCACACAATTAAGTATTAGTTTTTATGATCAGATATATGACACCCGTAAACATTGATATAGTCACACCATTTATTAAGTCTTAATCAAAGTCTTTCGGAAAATAAATTGAGTCTGATATAAATCTAATTATTCCTTCTTCCTTCTTTACTTTACCTTGCTGTCTAATCATTTCTCTTCCCAACTCCAACTTCAGTGTTTTGAACATTAATTTACTATTTTCGAAATGTCCCAATCAGAGATCAAAAGGCGCGAGCAGAGCTTGAAACATTGTAATTTTTTCTTAATATAAAACTAATTTGTTTCTCCTTCTTGGATAATGATTGACTGATTCTTAATTTCAGAATCAAATTTAAGACTCTGACAACTAAAACCATGGTGGCAGGCTGAGCTGTATAATATTAAACTATAATTACAAATATAACGAGATCTAGAGAGAACATAAACACTTTTGTTAAACAGTTAAACAATGAAATAAATCTATCTCATATTTATTTTTAAATAAGATAATCGATTTCAACAGTTTATCATTACTGTATGTAAAAATTTGAAAGGAATTGAGTTTTTGCCACAAACTCAGATTTTCTAATCCCAATATCTTTGCAACGTAATGTTGTAAACCTTAGATATTTCAAACTATGAATTTTGTCAGATCCAATAATCATAATTTGAAATATCAAAGGTTTACATCATCTGGTTGCAAAGATAGAGGGATTAGAAAGTTTGAGTTTGTGGCAAAGACTCAATTCCTTTGACCCTCGAGATTTAGAATAATGGCGAAAACACTATGATTTTAAAAGAAAGTTTTAATTATTCTGTCGTTCATGGACATGTTTTGTTTTCCTTATTCCAAAAATTGGGTTGTTAAATGTTTTTTTTAAAGAGTTAAGCAATCTTTTTCGAGGCTAGATTTAACATGAGAGTAAATCTGAAACTGGTTGTCCCAGAATTCTGCAGATCAGTTGAAAATTTGACGCTCTGAGAATGTTCAAGGATTGATCCAAGAACCTTTAGAGCAGTTTAGCAAACTCCTAAGAATATATTTGCAATTGAAGGGGATTCAATGGCATATGAAAAATGCATTATCAATTATTAAGAAGATGAGTTTAAAAATAGATCTACTCAATAAAAAATTACACTAACCATTGTGAAATAACAGATAACAAAAGGTTCATATTTTATTCAATAAATGTGATTGAACTATAGTTATTCTTAAAACTATACATATCAAAGTTCTAATTTGCATTATTCCCAAAAACTTGGTTATTTCGGAATAAAAAACATAGAATAAAGCGTCGTAACAAAAAGCGTAGCGTAAATTAAATTAGTAAAATAGTATTTAAAATATACACCTTATAATCCAGAAACCCACTCCCATCAACATCAAGGGTAGAGAACATTGCCTGAATCCTTAAAAACAACTTTTTAAATTTTTTTTTTATTTAAAACGGAAAATTGAAGCTGTAACTTTAGTATGAAGTGGCCTTAATGAAGACTTTATATTTATATTTTAAGCGAACGGGGGATTAATTCGCGAAAACCTGACTCGTGACTGTAAGTCGTATTTCGCGATCTCTCATTGGCCTTTAGAGGTATCAAGACGAAAAGATCTTAATCTGTAGACCAAAAAAAAAAATTAGTGCTTTGTAACGGTATTACCAATTCAAAAGTTGTTCTAACCTGGTCGAATTTATATCCAACCCGATCTGTTCTAAACCTAGAAATAAACAAGAAGATCGTAAACATTTCGGGCAGAAGATCTTTTAGAATATTGGATGAATGTTTTTAGATTAAATAAAAAAACTATTACTGACAAAAATAAAACTCGATATTTTTATTCTTTATAGTTTTTTTTTCAGATTCCACCAGGCCTCTCTCATCTATAAGAGTTAACCTCAACTTTTTAATTAAGCATAAAAGTATAAAAAAATCATGTAAAATGTTTAGTTTACCTTGCATTAATTCCGAAACTGTTATTCTTCCATCTCTGTTCGTATCAAAGGCAACAAATGCCTTGAAAAAAATGTTTGTGAAAACTGGAAAAACGGAGAAATCAGATTTGAATCAATTTTTCATATTTATTTGTATCGTGGATAAAGAAGGATATGTATATTAATGAACACTCTAGATCCATAAATAGCTATCAATTGGCTGGACATCAACCAAAATTATAAAAAATCTCTCATGGGACATCATGCTATGTGTAAGTGTGAACATGAGGAAACAGTTTGACAATTTAAAAAATTGTCTACCACATCTTCAGTTCTTTTCCTTGCTGGGCACGATCCGACTTTTTTGAAATCGTTCCGTTCCGTCCCGTTCCGTTCTGTTCTTGGTCAAAGAACGGTTATCCCGTTCCGTTACCATCCCCCCTTCCGTTCTTAGTCAAGAAGATAGGAGTGGGGAGGGGGGGGTACTTTAGAGGTGCCTGCATAATTGCTTGTTTGAAAATTGCAAAAATACGGGAAAAAATTAAACAAGAGCTTGTCATGATTGTAATCACAGTAACCCAAAAATCGATGAGAATTTTGTCAATTTCTTCTTTTAAATAAAAAAATGCGTTCTAAAGTTTACATTTCGTAATGTTAAATTTAAAGACCAAAGCGTTGCGACATTTCAAAGTCGTCTTAGTCTTGAATAAAATTCATACAGTGAAACCCTCAATAAAGAATACATCGACAGAATTCATCAAATTTCGTATTCTTCACTTTCTGATAATGGAATGTTGCAGATTATTAGTTTTTTAACTAAATGATTAATTATATGGAACTCTTTAAAACTGTTCCCGCATATTCATGGCTATTTATTATATTTTCGCAAATACTGAAATTTACGTAATATAGTATAAAACTCATTGAAAAATTGTCAAGACGACATTTGATAAATTCTTCCGATGTATTCGTTATTAAGGGTTTCACTGTAGCATGTAGTCAGTCAATACCATAACGTCCCGTGGGTGTGACGCATTTTCTGCATTGATCTATATCTCTTATCTTTGCTTCCTTCGATATCTTATAATTTTATATTATAAAGACGATTGAAAAGTTGTATGATTTTAATAAAAATATTACCTTTAGAACGTGTTCCGATATACCATCATTTCCCTAAATAAATACTTTTTTGTCATTATGTTATTTTTGCTGCGAGTTTTGATATTTTTAAACCTTATTTTGCTTGTTTTCTACCGATGGTGCTTGTTCTGAAGCGGAAACAAAAGAATCCAAGAATTCCTCCCAGTAAACACTTTTCATAATATTTTTAAAAAAGTATAAAATAGTTATTAATTGTTATCTACGTAATTCAAAGTAAGTAAAAAGTAAAATTCATGAAAAATTTGTGAATTCCTTTTCGCTACACTAGTTTTAATTTTATGTTCAAGTATGAAACATATAAAATCTGAATTAACATTTTCTGGATCACAAACAAAATATGAGAAATACTTGGAAACTTTTTTAATTTTGCTACATTTTTCAAAATATTTTTGTATTCCTGTCATCCCCATCTTTATCAAGGCTATAAAATATTTGCTCAGCCATGCCTGCATCCGCACCTGAAATAGATACTTTTTGCAGGACCATTCCATTTTAAAATGTTAAAAATAAAGAGAATAGATATATTAGAGGGGATTTTACTAGAAAAAGTGTAAAACAGCCATTTTGTTGTTCTGTTTCCATACTGCAGGTGTACTTCACATATTTGTGCTATATATAACCTTTTGGGCCCTGGAATATCATTTTATAGAAAATCTAAAATTAATGATAAAAGAAAACCCAAATTATGAAATAGGCTGGTTTCATAATTGACCAATTATCATTTCACATAGTCTCTATGCCTTCATTTTACAAACGATGATTTTCCGTTATAACTATAAATCAAATGATGTTTTTTATTCACCTAATTCATTTTATAAATTTTCTTAACAGCTTTAAAAAATTCGAAATTGAAATGGACAGTCTAGGGAACATACTGTATTAATGTACTAAATGGCTAAATTCCACTTTAATATATATTTTATTCTCTTAATGGCTAAAAAAAAGATAAGAAAAAAAATAAAAAAAATAAACGAAAAACAAAAAATTAAGAGAAATCTAATTATTTAATAAAGAAGGAAATTCTTACATAATATACAAAAAGATTAGTAAAGATGAGACTTCTGAACAATTTGTTTAATATTCAAAATATCTATTAGTGAACAGACACTAATAGATATTTTGAATATATATGTCATACTTTTCAAGTTAGTAAATACAGGGTGTCCCAAGAAACATGACAGTTGGTATAAATAGTTTAGAATGTCTTCTTCCATAATTTGATAAGTTTTTTTAATACGAAAGACAATAATAAAAATATTATTTAGACCTCATATTATAGTAACATTAATTTCAAAGTAAAATATACTAGAGCAAAAGATTTTTAAAACTAAATAAACTGCAAACAGCCTTTAATATCTAATACAGTGTATGGAAGACGACATTCAAAACTATTTATCAACTGTCATGTTTCGTGTATGTTTAAAGGTTTAACTGGTCAAGAAAGAAGACGACTTTATATTTGTATCTTTGAATAAAAGTATGGATTCGTTTTACAGAATCCTTTAATGTTTTTAGACTTTTAAAAGGGTTTACAAAAATTTGAGAAGTTTTCAACATTTTAAAACTTTACTCTGTTTTAAAAACATGTAAATTTGTTACCCTGGAAGAAAATATAAGGTAAAGAACAGTAGTGTTTTTGGTTTGTTTTTGCCTTATATTCACCTACAGTGAAACCTTTAATAACGAATACATCGGAAGAATTTATCAAATGTCGTCTTGACAATTTTTCAATGAGTTTTATACTATTTTATGTAAATGTCAGTATTTGCGAAAATAAATAAATATCCATGCGGGAACAGTTTTAAAGAGTTCCATATAATCATTTAATTATCAGAAAGTGAAGAATACGACATTTGATGAATTCTTTCGATGTATTCGTTATTAAGGGTTTCACTGTAGGATAACAAATTTGCATGTTTGATAAAAGTAAATTTCTACAAAATACAATTTTAGATCGTTGGACCCTTCGTAGATTGTCGGAAAACTTTCTAAAAGTCTAAAAATATTAAAAGTTTCTGTTTAACGAATTTGGCATATTGCCCTTCGCTAAATGTTGTAAAAGGGGCCTGGCTTTTTTTGTATCTTTGAAATTTACGGAGTTATGAAGCATTTATTCCTAATTCAAATTTATTCAATAAAATCAAAGTTGTTTAAATTTACAAATACTAGGATAAAAAAGCAACGAAAGGATGCATTGCTTAGGGATCGAGAAATATTTTTGTTCCAATCAAATTGTACCCTTTATTAACTATCAAATATCGAGAACGCTTGGAATGATTTCAAAAAGTTCTCAAGGTTATTTGGTATTGGGACACCCTTATTATACGTACCTACAGACCTGTGGAGTACGAGTATATTGGGACATCTAGTGATATAAACCGTACATATTTACAAAACTGTGGATATAAATCCCGTGATATAAATATACATGTGCAGACCTGTGGATCCATGTTTATTGAGACACCCTATGATATAAACATACAGACTTGTGGATCCATGTGTATTGGGACACCCTGTGATACATATAGATACAGACCTGTGGAGCCCATGTTTATATCACAATATGTCCCATGTTTATTGGGACATCTTGTGATATAAATATACATGTGCAGACCTGTGGAGCCATGTTTATTGAGACACCCTATGATATATACATACAGACTTGTGGATCCATGTTTATTGGGACACCCTGTGATACATATAGATACAGAACTGTGGAGCCCATGTTTATTGGGACATCTTTTGATATAAATATACATGTACATACCTGTGGATCCATGTTTATTGGGACACCCTTTGATATATACATACAGACTTGTGGATCCATGTTTATTTGAGACAGCCTGTGATACATATAGATACAGAACTGTGGGGCCCATGTTTATTGGGACATCTTTTGATATAAATATACATGTACATACCTGTGGATCCATGTTTATTGGGACACCTTGTGATACATATAGATACAGACCTGTGGAGCCCATGGCATTAATCAACTCCGACAAAGTTATCCTGGACAATAGAAAATCTACATAGAGGAAAATATCCTGGACAATATCAAATCTACATAGAGGAAAATATCCTGGACAATAGAAAATCTACATATCCTGGACAATTTAAAATCTACATAGAGGAAAATATCCTGGACAATTTAAAATCTACATAGAGGAAAATATCCTGGACAATTTAAAATCTACATAGAGGAAAATATCCTGGACAATTTAAAATCCACATAGAGGAAAATTATCTAGAATTTTTGTAAGGTGCCGAGAAAAAAAATGTTAAAACTCACGCTTTAAAGGACTGTCTTTGTAATTTAAGGAATGTCCAGTGAGAATGTCCAACTCCCAACGGTACTGTTTTACACCTTTGACTGCGTTGAACAGTAATGTGAAGTTTTTTGGCTTCTTTTAAATAAAGCACAAAATAGATTCAGGATTGATCAGACAAAGCTTTCAGGGATACCATTGTAAATCGGACATGCCACCTTTTTTACAGTTTTACATTACATTTAAATTACGCCAACTGTCTCTTTAAGTTGTGATCAAATATTTATTTCTAAAATGTAATTTTTAGACTTTAAACTGGATTCAAGCTCAACCGTGTACGCTGTACGTACTACGTACACTGCATACACTCTCTGAGCCCGAAATTTAAAAGAGTATCGTTGAACGAAACTCCCGAGTTTCCTTTTTGGGGTCTTAACATTTTGTAGATTTGATTTAAGAGATTTGACAAAAATGGAAAATGTGAAGAAACTTAATAAAAAAAAATATTTCATAACAAAAATATTGATATCCACAAAACTGCCTAACCCCATTCTTGAAACCCGGGTTTCAAAACTGGTTTTCATAACGATACCCTGTTTTAAGTTTTGGGCTCTGGACTCTGCTTTCCTTATTTTGCATATCCAGATTAAAAATAAAATTTCGTTCGAAGTCATCATTCACATTTTTGAAAACCAGTTTATAACCCAAGAAAAATACATTGATCGCCATATCTGATCCAGGGACAAAATATCATTGATGTGTGTGATCCTAGAAAGTATAGCACACAAGTTGTGTACTTTTTGGTTGGGGGTTTCAAGACTAGACCTACCTCCCGTCTCCATTAAGGTCCAGCGCTTTGAATTGTGATTTAATATTTGAAATCATATCTGAGTCCATTGTAAATATCTAATGAATAGAAAAACAGAGAAATATATGTTTAAGGTAGATAAAATTTAAATTTTTACAAAAACCCTAAGACTAATTATGATGCTAATCGTTTTAAGTGAAAAATCTGTACAGTTTGGTGCCGCCCGGGTCTAATTCACAAAAGTACCCTTTAACCTTTGACTGCTTATCTGCAGTAGTGCTTCAAGTAATTCATAATTGCTAAACACTTTGCTGGCATAATATTAATATTTACTTTGAAGAAAATGTCTAAATATTTGCATTTAACTTTTTTAAACCGCGTGAATGAACGAATAGTTTAGCATAATTAAATGACTACTTTAGCGTGTATAAATGAATAGTTTATCGTAAATGAAAGAATAGTTTAGCGTGTATAAATGAATAGTTTATTGTAAATGAAAGAATAGTTTAGCGTATATAAATCAACTGACCAATAAGTGTTATTAATATTAACTCTACTAAGACAGGAAGTAAAAGTTTATCAAATATATTACTGCAGAACTACAAAGGAATGTGAAAATAAATTGAAGACTAAAAAATTGAAAACCTTGAACAAATAGGCTTTCATTTAGACACCCTGTACAGTGTATACACATTACACATAGGGTTCGTACAGCTTGTGGTCCATACGTTTGACAAATTATGATGGATTTGGAATTTTTTATGATCGTCAGCTGCATAGAGGATTAGAATAAAGATTAAAATGATTTTGTATCTCTCCCAACCTTGAAACAAATCCTCATAATAAACCTACTAATTGAATTACTATAAGCATCCATCAGAAAAGTGGTGTTTTCTATTGAAAATTAAAGCTATGCCCAAGAAACTGCTAACCACCCAAAAATGTTCTAATCTCTATAGGCTTTGCAACCTATTGATGTAAACCTTTAATATTTAAAACTTTAACTATTTGATTCAGCAAATTTCGTAGTTGGAAATCTCAACAATCTACGACAGCAGTTAAATTGTAAAGAATTAAGTTATCAAAAATCTGTCTTTAAAACTTTACCTTAGACGGATGAACAAAATTTAAAAAATCTCGTACTTCTATAGCAATTTCAAAGCTGGAAGAAAATTTGAAAATGGGGTCGAAAGAGTAATATATCATGCATATCATATTTCGATAAATTCGAGTTTAGGTGAGGAATAGTTTAAATCAAATAGATTCTAGTACAATAGATGGCAACGCAGAATTTGTACACTCTCAGTACAGCTGTACAAGTGTCAATTCAGTTTTTGAGTCCGACAAAATCATCAATAATAGTGATAATTTTAGAATAAAGTGCTTATCTTACAGTAAAAATTTCGTTTTCCTTGTTATATTTGACACTTGTGACGTTGTGTATAATTGGTCCATTTCTCTGTTGCCACCTATTCTACTTGATAATCTATTTGGTTTAAATAGCATTGGGGACTTCCCGTAGTTGTAATGTACGACGAAAGTCGGTTTGGTTGTAAAATATTTTAACAATAAATTCAATATGTTGGCAGCTAATAATGCTGTTAGTGATGGTAGGTAAAATAGTACAATTATTCAAAGAACCAGAGTTTACCATGCGACATAAAATAAACACAAGGATGAATAAATGATTAATAAAGATAAATGAAAATATTATGAAAGAAAGAAAAAGAAAAAGTGGAGGTACCAATTTAGCCTTCGGTACCAAATTAGACATCGTCCCAAATTAGCTTGTGCAATTCATGACAAAAATCTGATCAGTGTTTTTGATTTCAAGCGATAAAACATACATATGAACAAGTGTCGAAATTGGTCCCCTGGTCCCTTTTTGGACGTAAAACTGTCTTCCAGGTCCCCAAATGGCACATGGACATGGGGACCGTCCCCATTTGAATGGATTTGGTCCTGTTTTGTGTGTGTAAATCATAGCAAACCAATTGCACCTTATCAATTTCTCTTCTGGAAGGGACTGTCGTTGAAATTTCAAGTCATATAATTTCTTTTCCAGAAATTCGCAAATTTTTAAAATTAGAGATAATTAATTTTTGAAATGAAGGGTTACTTTAAATTACATCTACAGCGCCGTTAAAATAAAATATGTTTTCGTATTATACTGCAGTGCCATCCTCACCTCATCATTTAGTTAATTGTCAGTTTAAAATTTGAAAGAATTGAAGTTGCCTCTTACAATTTCGTCTTTTTCATATATTTAAATATAATCATCTTTTTATATACCTTTTATCTAATATATATATATCTATGTTACATGAAGATATTGTCTATGGTACATATATAGGTCTATAATAATTGACATTATTTTCAACAAATACATACAAATACATTTATTAATCCTTCAATTCTTATGCTTAAATATATATTATTTTCTTTTTATCTACTTTATAACAAATATATATGTTATATATTAAATATTTTCTATGATATATAATGTTCTATAATACTTGACATAGCTCATAAATACAGCTATTTGTCAATCCTTTACTTTTAAAACTGCAACTCATCGTTCTTTCACATTTTAATAATAAATAGTATATACTAGCTGGGGAACCTGAACAGCGTTGCCCAAGATAGTCAGAGTACGTTGGTCCCGCCGTTTACCCGAACTTTGTCGTAACTTACGATTTTTACGATTTTACCAATTCGAGTTAGAATCAAAAACCAATCTAAGAACCGCTACACTCTCCACCAAACGCTACTTCGGTATGTTTACTGCAATTTACTGCAAAATGCACCGAAAGCTTATAGTTGAAGGTAGCTACCAACGTCTACAGATTCAGTTGTTAAAGTTAAAGAAAGAGTGGCACGGATGCTCTGCTATATCTAGTTTCGCGTGGTGAAAATACAGTATACATATGCGTAAGATATATTTTCTTTATAATATTAAATTAATTAATTGTACAAAAATGAACTTTAGGTTTAAGTATCCCCCCCCCCCCCTCCATCTATGACACAAACATTTATATACATCCATACCCCCCCCCCTTCACACCCTTGCCCTTTCCCTGCCCTCCCCCCCCATGTGTACGATTATGTAAATGTTTAACACCCTTTTTTCAGCATCTTTCACGGGTTTATTACTCAATTCTCTTTACTCTCGAGTACTGTATACTCATTAATATTGAAATCAGTTTACAGGGGCTCATTTCAGGCTCATGAGGGCAGAGGGGGGGGGGAAGGGAAACTTATGTTCAACAAAAACTATTAAGCAATTAAATTAGAAAAAAATAAAAGATTTGAAACTTTTGGGAAAAGAAAAAATGGATGTGATAAAAAGACAACAAATTTTAAATTAAAAATATTTTCACACTCATTAAATAATTTTACAAAAAGATGGAAATTTCATATGTTTTCGTATTTAAAGGCAGCCCTGAAAACTCCTCCTTTTAATCAGTGAAAGACATAAAATAAATGAGGATCATAAATTGCATATTATTTAAATAGTTCCATTAATGTACACTATAGATAGACAGATACAAGGATAGTGCAATAATGATCACATAAATATAATATCTCTATTCATTTGTAAATTATCTTTTTCACAATTTCTACAATTATTTACAGGTAGTAATTAACAAGAAAGGTACAAAATTATATAGATAATTCCAGAGATAGTCATGACAATCTAATTTTTTTCTTTTAATCTTACTATTTTTGATAAAGGGAGTGTTCGCGAAAAATGAAAGGGGGTATAGGCTTAATGCGAGAAAAAAGCGCTTTTGATCGCTACTAATCTTAATTCTATCTTTTGAGTCTATAAGGAGAAAATTGTTAAAAACGACTCACACCGAAGAACGTAGTGTCCATATGGCCATACAAATTCAGAAAGATGCAACATTCAACTCGGATCGTAAACAAATAAATTTAATTCCAAACAAATCATTCAGATATTACAAACAGTAGTCATCGATGATTTTTCAACGCATTCGTAAATAGTTGATATTTCATAATATTTTGTATTTTTCATGATCTGATAGTTACGTTTGAAAACATTTATTTCTGTTTCGAGGATTTTTGATAATGAAGACGACATTTTCATATTTTCCAAGAATGTTCGAAAATCCAGCCCCAGCGAAAATTATTTTTTAAAAAAATCAAAAATATTATGAAATATTAACTATAATATACGAATGCGTTGAAAAATAATTAAATGGAAAGATCAAGAAGCAAATAGAAATATAGAAAGACAGAAGAATGGACAGATCAAGAGGCAAAAAGAAATATAGAAAGATAGAAAAATAGAAAGATAGAAAGATAGAAAGATAGAAAGATAGAAAGATAGAAAGATAGAAAGATAGAAAGATAGAAAGATAGAAAGATAGAAAGACAGAAAGAAAGAAAGATATATATATATATAAAGAAGAGAAATAATTAAAGGAAATTGCACTGTAAATTTTACAGTAGCAATGCAGTTCATAGTAAAGCTACTGCCACCACTTAGATAAACTAATTCCATTATTTTATTTCAAATCTATTTTTCAACCTAACTCAATTTGTATATTTACAAACACGCAGGGTCGGGACCAGGGAGTAAATACAGGCTAAAGGTTGAATTTACACTTGAATGAGATTCAATAAAATTTAAATTGAAAAATTAAAATAGATTGGGCAAAAAATTATTTGAAAAAAAACATTTTGAATGAAATTAAATTAATAAATCAATAAATCAATAAATCAGTTTATAATCCTACATTAAGCCTGATCCATTAGTTTTATGATCCAAAAACTGGCAAAGAAGATCTCTAAATCTACATATTTGCTAATCAAAATAAATAATCTAATCCATATAGACAGGAGCTAATTATTACGCACTGACTGATGAGTGATGATATATGTGTCATTCGGTTTTTAGAACACTATGTTAACATTGAGAGGATTTATTATTGTGTGTACGTAATTAAGTCTGTTTTCTTGGAGTCTGGGCAGAAACCACCACCACCGGAGCGCTACCGAAGACCCCGTCCCACCTGAAACCCCATCCGGTACCTCACCGGAGACCCCGACATTGTCAACGGAGACCCCAAAGTCTTCATTGGAGACCCCAAATAAATAGTAAAA